TTCTTTTTCCTTTTCTTTCTCTTTTTCTTTTTTCTTCTTTTTCTTTTTGGAGAGAGAGAGAGAAAGGGTTAGGCTATTTCCTGAATGTGCCCTGACCAGCGATTAAACCCCCAACCCTGGTTGTATCAGGTGATGCTCTAACCAACAGCCATCTGACCAGGGCATTGTCCTGCCTCTTAATGAGTTCAAAGCTAGTGGTCCTACTCCGCCATGCAGCATTTGCAACCTTATATTTTCTGTTTCCCAAACGATTATGTGTGTGTGGAAAGCTTAAGTAGTAGGATTACTTAAAAATAATATTAAAAAATTGGCACAGTAGAAAATTTCCCTTCGGAACCAATTTGTAACTAGTTTGTTTAGCTAAGGAACGTACTTGTTCTTTCCTCCCTTTTTTTGCTCTTAATTCGTTTCTTTCTAAGCATATATTGGATATCTTCTCAATGTGTATGACATGAAACAGTCATATATTGGTACAAAAATTATAAGTCAGCTGTGAAATGTAGCATCCTTGCTGGCTTTGAAAGAAGCCAGTTAAATGGGAGGGAGGTGGGGAGCACTGGGGGGGGGGGTGGGCTGGAATGGGAGTAAAAAACAGAAAACTGTACTTGAACAATAATTAAATAAATGTTTTTAAAGAAGAAGAAGAAGAAGCAAGCTGCCATGTTTTGAAAGGGTCTTTGGAGGAGGCACCGTGGCTAGGCTCTGATTGCTGCCCTTTGCCGACAGCCAGCAAGGAAACAGGGACCTCCGTCCTACAAGCTGCAAGATGATAAATTCTGCCAACCACCTGATGGAGCTTGGAAGGCACTTATCAGCTTGTAGCAGAGGGGAGGGCACACCTGTTATCAGTACAGGGACTTCTTTTTTGTAGTTATGGAACCTGGAGTTGTGGAGTCTAGCCAGAGGTCTATCAGTTTAACCCTGAAGTTTTGACACAAGTCATCAACACTCACTTTTATGCCTGTTCTTATTCAATATTGTACTGGGAGTACAAGAAAGATAGCCCAATCAGGACAGAAAAGGACATGAGAGATATTCAGATGTGAAGGAAAAAGTAAACTTTCTTTGCAGCTGACATGACCATATTTCTAAAAAATCCTAAAAGCTCTACCTCCCTCCTGCACTGACCCCCCTACAAAAAAACAAAAACAGCCCTGGCTGGTGTAGCTCAGTGGATTGAGCTTGGGCCTGTGAACCAGACAATCGTGGTTCGATTCCCAGTCAGGGCACATACCTGGGTTGCAGACCAGTTCCCTGCAGACCAGTTCCCAGTAGGGGGCACACGAAAGGCAACCATACATTGATGTTTCTCTCCCTCTCTCCTTCCCTTCCCCTCTAAAGATAAATAAATAAAATATTTAAAAAAAAAGAGGAGATCCCTCCATCTTTCAAAAAAAAACCAAAAAAACAAAAACAAAATAAACAAAAAAAGCCTATAATAAGTAAGATCAGCAAGATTACAGGGCAGAAAGTCAATATAAAAATCAATTTTATGTCTATACTAAAATTAAAAAATGGGAAATAGAAATTTAAAGAGCAATATTATTTGCAATAGCATTAAAATCAGAAATTAGAGATAATTTTAACAACATGTGAAAAACTAGTTCAGTGAAAGCTACAAAACATTACTGAGAAATGAAAGACAATCACAGAAATGAAAGACATCAATGGAGAGGCATACTGTGCTCATAGATCAAAAGACTAAATGTTATTAGAGTTCATCTCCCCAAATTTGCCTACATATTTTTTGAAATACTTTTTAAAAATTTTTACTGATTTTAGAGAGCAGAAGAGGGAGAAAGAGAGAGGGAAACATCACTTTGTTGTTCTGCTTATTTATGCAGTCCCTAGTTGCTCCTTGTATGTACCCTGACCGGGGATTGAACCAGTGACCTTTTGGTTCGCAGGCCAGTGTTCAATCCACTGAGCCACACCAGTCAGGCCTAAAAGACTTTCTTGAGACACCCCAAAGTTAGCTAGAATAGTTGAAGAGGACCTCATGATAGTTAAGACTTGAGATAAGCCCTAAAGTACAGATAAAATTTATTTAAGCAAAGGGTAGAAGAAGAACAGTATTAGTAAGAGGGTAGAATAAGCGATGCCTTGAGATAGAAACACAGTATGTTCAGGAAATGGAAAGGATATAACAAGTTTGGGATTAGTGGAAGATTGAAAAGGGTAGGTGGGCCCTGGCTGGTGTATCTCAGTGGATTGAGTGCGGGCCTGCGAACCAAATGATTGAGGTTCGATTCCCAGTCAGGGCACATGCCTGGGTTGCAGGCCAGTTCCCAGCAGGGGATGCACGAGAGGCAACCATACGTTGATATTTCTCTCCTTCTCTCCTTCCCTTCCCCTCTAAAGATAAATAAATAAAATCTTTAAAAAAAAAGGGTAGGTGGTCTTTAATGCCAATTTATAGAGTCAGTACTTTATCTTTTAAGTGTGAGACAGCCAATGGCAATTTTGAAGAAGCAGTTAAGATTTATAACATTGCTACTTAAGCACATTTAATTTGTGGGCACTGTGTAGAATGCATCAGGGTGATCTAAGCAAGAATGAAAAAAACCTGAATAAAATACAGTGGGTTGAGATGGATACGTGAAATATTTTGAAGTGGGCTTTGTTACCTACATAACTAAATGAGGAGGAATAAAAGAAAAAAGAGACAATATTTGGATTTTAAACCTTTAATAGAAATAGGGAACAATTTCAGGAAAGAACCTTTGAAGAGAAAGACAATAAAGATTGATTTTAGTTATGTCTAGTTTGAAAATATAATGAAAAATTCAAGAAGATTTTTTGTTTTTTGTAGGGAGGTAGAGGTAAGGGATTCATGTTTGAAATTCAGATTAAGATTGGCATATATTCAGCATAAGTAAATTGAAACATAAGCCAGTACCAGTTCACCAAGAGAAAAAGCACATATACCAAGAAGAGCTGAAGGTTGTTCAGTATCCACAATTGGGGTATTTGAAGAGGAAGACAAGGCAGCAAAGGACAGACGCAGCAGTCATCAATAGTTGGAAAATATTTCCTTTCAGGTGCTCATCTTTCTCTTCTCTGTGTGTAAACCTTCATTCTACCTTTCCAAAATACTTTGAATATATAGTTTTTGCCTTGTTCATACCTCATTACTGCCTATTTATTTATTTTTTTAAAGATTTTATTTATTTGTCTTTAGAGGGGAAGGGAAGGAGAGAAGGAGAGAAATATCAATGTATGGTTGCCTCTTGTGCATCCCCTGCTGAGAACTGCAACCCAGGCATGTGCCCTGACTGGGAATCGAACCTCGATACTCTGGTTCGCAGGCCCGAGCTCAATCCACTGAGCTACACCAGCCAGGGCTCATTACTGCCTCTTTAAATCAGCACGTGTATATTTCCTGTGTATCTATCTTCTTCACTATATAATTATGTATATAATTATGTTTATGCTCTTTCAAAATTGTGACTAGTTCTGAATTAGATAGTAAGCAATTTTCAAGGCCCTGAGTCCAAAGCTATACCTAATTTTATTATTTTAAAAAAAATTTATTTATCTATATTTTAAAATTATTTTATTGTTGTTCAAGTACAGTTGTCTGCATTTACCCCCACCACTCCCCCCACCCCACCCCAGCCATCCCCACCTCCCTCCCTTGCTTCCACCCTCCCCCTTGGTTTTATCCCTGTGTGCTTTATAGTAGTTCCTGAAAAACCCTTCCCCCTTCCCTCCCATTGTCCCCTCCCACCTCCCCTCTGGTTATGGTCAGACTGATCTTAATTTCAATGTCTCTGGTTATATTTTGCAAAGCTATATCAAATTTAAACAGCTTGTCAGGAGAATAAATCTTCTAGTGCTTCTGATGGGATTTTAAGCTACTCAATTGTAACCTGCCTCTAAAAATATATACAACACACTGACTTAAGTTTACACTGAAGTGTGAGTTAATTCTGAATGTATTCTAATTTGGAGGGATGTGCAAGGAGAAATTGGAGAAAGAAAGTTCAAGAGAAATGGAGAGAGAAAACATATTTTTAAATCATTGCTTATGAAAGATAATATATTTATGACATATTAAAACTATAAGGTTCAGCCTATGCTGAAGTTAAGGCTGATGGAATCAGTATGAAGGAGAAATTGATCTCTCTTGTAAGTACCAAGTAGTCTTCTAAGATGGCTGCCATTTGTGTGAAAACCTGTGTATCTAAAGTACCTGAAATCTAAGCATTCCTGCATTAGATAACAAAAAAAAAGTCTGATTTAAAAAATGTCTAGGCAAGAGTTGGAAGCAACCTAGGTGCCCATCACTAAATGAATGGATCAAAAAGCCATGGTACATTTACACACTGGAATTCTACACAGCAGAAAGAAAGAAGGAGCTCCTACCCTTTGCAATAGCAAAGGATGGATGGAACTGGAAAGCATTATGCTGAGTGAAATAAGCCAGGCAGTGAAAGACAAATACCATATGATCTCACCTTGAACAGGAACCTAAACAACAAAACAAACAAGCAAGCAAAATATAACCAAAGACACTGAAATACAGAACAGGCTGACAGGGACCAGAGGGGAGAGGGGAGGGAATTTCAGGGGAAAAGGGGAAGGATTCACAGGAACAAGTATACAGGACACATGGACAAAAACTAAGGGGGGTGGAAATGGGAGGGAGGTGGGGAGCACTGGGGGGGTGGACTGGGATTGGAGTAAAAGAAAACTGTACTTGAACAATTAAAATAAGAAAAACAGTGACCTCTTATAAAAAATAAAAATAAAAAATGTCTAAATGTGCCCTGGCTGGTGTGGTTCAGTGGGTTGAGTGCTGGCCTGTGAGCCCAAAGGTTGCCAGTTCAATTCCCAGTCAGGGCACAGGGCCTGGGTTATAGGGCAGGTCCCTGGTTGGGGGCATGTGCGAAGCAGACGACGAATGTTTCTCTCTTCTCTTGCCCTTCCCCTCTCTCTGAAAGTAAATAAATAAAATATTTTTTAAATGTCTAAATGTGACCTCTCAACTTTTTCAGAGGAAATGCGAAAGCAAGGCTTATTGCAATGGCTTGATTCTCTTGAGACTGAGAACGCCACCTCTCCAGACCTACAACTCACCGTGGGGGCAGTGATTGTGGAGGAAATGAGAGCGGCCATCGAGAGGCAGACTGGTTTTCAGTGTTCAGCTGGAATTTCACACAATAAGGTGAAGGCTAATGGTAGTTTTTAAAGAGAAACATAGGTACCTATAAATACAGCAAGGATACATTTAAGTAGGGCATTTAAATAATTATCCATATACTTTGCACTGGGTTTCTATTTAAAATTAATGTCCAGGGTGAAGCAGAAGCCTAGTAATTCTTTCACATGGGAATCAACATTGAACATATACTTTCCTAAGAAGCAGGCTGAAAATTTTGCAGAAAATGCTTATTTATATAGTTGCATCCAAAGTATTTCCTTAATGACTGAACTATCCAGGAAGGAGGAGGTTAGTCTTTGAATTTTATATATGAATCTATTTGTTTTCTTTTAATTTGCTGAATATTCTAGTATTACTTCATTTCTTTTAAAAAGAATTTATTTTTTTAGGGAGGGGAAAAGAGGGAGAAAAACATCAATGTGTGGTTGTCTCTCATGCACCCCCTATAGGGATCTGGCCTGCAACCCAGGCATATGCCCTGACTGGGAATTGAACCAGCATCCCTTTGATTTCGGGCTGGCACTCAACCCACTGAGCCATACCAGCCAAGGCTAGTATTATCTCATTTCTTATGTGGAGTGGCCTAGGTGTTTTATGATTTGACTATTCCGCCTTTCCTAATGAAAGCAGTAAGAGAAATGCAATAGTAAAATGTTATTGATTTGAACACTACTTTGATTTATGGAATACAGACAATTGTCAATCCAGGGGGAGAATAACTGGTTTTCTGATTAAAGTTCAGTGGTGTGGCTCAGTGGATTGAGTGCCAACCTGCAAGCCAAAGGGTCACTGGTTTGATTCCCAGTCAGGGCACATGCCTGGGTTGTGGGTCAGGTCCCCAGTAACGGGTACATGAGAAGCAACTATATATGAGAGAGAAACCATTGATGTTTCATGCTCTCTCTTTCTCCCTCCCTTCCCCTCTCTAATTACATAAAATCTTTAAAAAAAAAAAGTGCAGTGAGGGTCTGGAATCTGTCCCCCTGACTAGTCTCAAAACTGGGCAGAGACTGATTTCTGGTTACTACTTTTCCCCCCTCCCTCCAATAAGAGCAAAGTGCCAAACTACTCAGCAGAGTTTGGGTGTTTTTTGTTTTTTCTTTTTTGGTTGGGTAGAGGGAAGGAAAACAAAAGTCCTAACTTAAACCACACTAAATGATGCCCAGAAGTTCCAGAGAATCTGTCCAATGAGTTTAAGAATGATTTTATATTTTCCCCACCAATTTTAATTTGTGAAATGATACCACTGAAATATCTTGTTCTTTGAAAGGAATTCTCAAGGATTAAAATTTTTTTCATTTTAGTCTTATTTATAGTATATTTGCTAATGGAGGGTGCTTCGGAGGCCAATCCCTATCAAAGATAGAAATTATGGTAATGTGTATTAAACCCAGGACTCAAAATGGACTAACCAGTAATCAAGAAATATCAATAAGTGGGTAAAACGAGTTTGCCTCAGCTTTTTCATATGGATCTGTTAAGAAATGCATCATAAGTTTCTTCTGCAGCTTCTCTGCCTTTTACCCTCTTGACGTGGGAGAACCTTAGGATTATATGCAAGCAGAAGAATGACTAAAGGAAAACCAGGAACAAATGTAGAAAGAACAATGCAGACAATGATCGTGGGTCATGTTTTCCAGTGAGGATGTTATAGGAAACCAAGGTTCAGAGGTGTCTTGGGTTTCTGGTTGTGTTTTTGTTTTTAATGTGGACACTGCTAGTTATAGCCCTTAAGCTGTGCCTCTGTGTGTGTGTGTGTGTGTGTTAATATTCATCGATTCTCTGTGTGGGTGTTGACAGCAATGAGGTTTTTACACTTTCTGTACTCCAGGTCCTGGCAAAACTGGCTTGTGGACTAAATAAGCCCAACCGCCAGACGCTGGTCTCACATGGGTCAGTCCCACGGCTCTTCAGCAACGTGCCTATTAACAAAATGTAAGTATTTGGGCAGCCTCTTCACTTTCACTCAGACACATATGAAGGCACTTTCTGGTTGTCCTTTTTTGTTCCTTCCTTATGTAGGAGTGATTGGAACCAGGGAAAACTGGTGCTAGGAAGGTGGGAGGGAGAGACACAGGAAATTTTGAAAAACACAATTTTTCTTTTCTTTTGCCATTTACATTTTAATTGTGGAAAACATATGTAACGTACAGTTTACCATTTTAACCACACTGTTTTAGCCACACTGTTTAGTCACATTAAGTACCTTCATACGGCTGTGCAGACATCAGCACTGTCCATCCACAGAAGCCTCTTCGTGTTCCCACACGGAAACAGCACACCCATTCAACTCGGACTCCCCCGTAGCCCCTTCCCCCAGCCCCTCGCAACCACCCCTCCACTTTCTGTTTGTATGAATTTGACTTCACTAGCTACCTCATGTAGGTAGAATCATACAGTGTTTTCCTTTTGTTTTCTTTTAAGTATATTTTGTAGAATTTTTCTTAATGAAACTTCAACTCTAGATTATCTGTGGAAGATACTTAATACTGAATTTTTAAAAATAAACAGATTTTTAGATGTATGTTTAACTTCCCTCTGGACTTTTATTCAGGTCTGTTACTAAATATATAAATAGGAATTTTACCTCTTCTAATACATAAAGATTTGGACTTTTATTCAGGTCTGTTACTAAATATATAAATAGGAATTTTACCTCTTCTAATACATAAAGATGCTTAGGACTACTGAGTTGCTCCTAAACAAGGCATGAAAGAAGCCAAATAAAATGAATAACTAGATTGTGCCTACCAGTCGCTGTGTGTCCTCGTCAAGGGTTTATAATACCACTGACAGGACAAGACACAACAGTTCAAAGCAACAGTAAGAAGTGGTATCACAAGACTGTGTGTAATTGCTAAATGAATTGTACAGGTAGTTACCAAAGTTCATAGTAGACAACAATAAATCTGAGGAGGATTTATGAAAGAGGCATGGGATTTGTTTTGAGATTTGGCAAATCTGGACAGTTGGATGAGTGAGAAGAGCAATAGCAATTTGGACAATGTTTTGAACACAAAGAGACAAAAAGTATGAGGTGTTTCAGTGAACTGGGACATAAACTAGTTTAACTGGATCATACTGAGGAAGAGAAGTGATGGAAATAGTACTGAAAAAATTGGTTGAAGTCAGATTATAGGAAGCCTTGAAGGTCAGGCTGAAGATTTTTTATTCTTAAATATAAAAGGTTTTAGCTATAGAAGAGATGTGTTGGAGGGCTGGAATTTTAATCCATAAATGGAACAGTAGATTTTGTACAATTGAAAGTTTTATGGACTTCTGCCAAGATGGAGGCATAGGTGGAAGCACTGCGCCTTCTCGCACAACTAAGTTTAAAAACAACAAAGTTTTAGCAACAAAAACGCAGCCAAACCACAGAAAATTGAACTACACGGAAGTCTGACAACAACGAACCCTTCAGCCAAACTGGTAAGAGGGGCAGAGCCAGCAGCAGAGCGGGGTCAGGCAGGAAAGATCCACCTGACTGACCTGGGTGCACGACTCAGGTGTGCCAGCAGCCGTGGGCGGATCCCAGGTGTGGAGAAGCGGGCCGACCCACTGAGGGCACAAGGCGGTGGAACCACTGAGGGTTGATCGCAGTCACGCATTTGCGCGCAGATAAACCGGTGAAGGAGCAAGCAGTGAGACAGACTGGGCAGGCCCCAGTGGCAGGAAGCGGCAGAGGGAACTGCCATTGTCCCTCTCTGACCCCACTCCCACACACAGCGTCACAAACCAGCGACCTGGGTGGCCCCACCCTGGTGAACAACTAAGGCTCTGCTCCTCTTATGTAACAGGCATGAACAGATCAAAACATGGCTCAAGAACAACTCAGAGCCCCAGAGCTGATAAATCTAAGCGATGAAGAAATAGCCAAAATTTCAGATGCACAGTTCAAAACACTGGTGATCAGGATGCTCACAGAACTGGTTGATTTTAGTCACAAATTAGAGGAACAGATGAAGGCGAAACTAATTGAAATGAATGAAAATGCACAGGAAACCAATAGTAATGGAAAGGAAACTGGGACTCAAATCAAAGGAGTGGACCAGAAGGAAGGAAAAAATGACCAAACAGAAAAGGATGAAGAAACAAGAATGCAAAAAAATGAGGAGAGGCTTAGGAACCTTCAGGACATCTTTAAATGCTCCAACATCTGAATTACAGGGGTACCAGAAGGGGAAGAGGAATAGCAACAAGTGGAAAACTTATTGGAACAAATAATAAAGGAGAACTTCCCCAATCTGGCAAAGGAAATAGACTTCCAGGAAATCCAGGAAGCTCAGAGAGTCCCAAAGAAGTTGGACCCAAGAAGGAACACACCAAGGCACATCATCATTACATTAGCCAAGATTAAAATGAAGGAGAGAATCCTAGAAGCAGCAAGAGATAAGGGGACAGTCACCTACAAAGGAGTTCCCCTCAGATTGTTAGCGGATTTCTCAAAAGAGACCTTACAGGCAAGAAGGGGCTGGAAAGAAGTATTCCAAGTCATGAAATCCAAAGACCTACAACCAAGATTGCTCTATCCAGCAAAGCTTTCGTTTAGAATGGAAGGGCAGATAAAGTGCTTCTCAGATAAGATCAAATTCAAGAAGTTCATCATCACCAAGCCCTTATTATATGAAATGTTAAAGGGACTTACCTAAGAAAAAGAAGATAAAAAAGATGAACACTGAAAGGACAACAAACTCACAGTTATTAAGAACCACATCTAAAACAAAAGCAAACTAAGAGGACAGCTAGATCAGGAGCAGAGCCATAGAAATGAAGATCACATGGAGGGTTAGCAACAGGGGAGAAGGAGAAAGGGGGAGAAGGTACAGAGAATAAGTAGCATAGATGGTAGGTAGAAAATAGATAGGGGGAGGGCAAGAATAGTATGGGGAAATACAGAATCTAAAGAACTTGAGACACGTGGTCATAAACTAAAGGGGGGGAATGGTAGGGGAGGGGTGTGCAGGGTGGAGGGGAATGAAGGGGGGAAATAGAACAACTGTAGTGGCATAATAAAATATATTTAAAAAATAAAAAAAGAAAGTTTTATATACAGTTGGCTTAACAATAATTAATGACTTCAACTTTTTGTTTTTGCTATTGTTAATCTCCTTCCCAGGTCCTAACCCTCAGAATATCTGAATTCCCAGAACTGTTTAGTCTTACAGTACAGTATTAATAGTCTATAGGACTAACATGTGCTCTCATTTCCTTGAACCTTCTGGAGATTCACTTACACAAGCAAAATACCTTATACCTGCTGCAAACTAGATACTTGGGTTATGAACTAAATTTCTTGTCTTTTTTGTTAGCCGTAGTCTCGGAGGAAAGCTGGGAGCCTCTGTCATTGAAATCCTGGGGGTAGAGTACATGGGTGAACTGACCCAGTTCACTGAATCCCAGCTCCAGAGTCATTTTGGGGAGAAGAACGGGTAGGTGATTCCTACTACTTTTCAATCGTAACTTTTATGGAAATACTAAATTCAAATATACACTAAAACATTGAGTAAAATCTGGGCCTATTTTTAGGTTAGCATTTATTCCTCGATGTAATTTTATTGCTCCTTTTGCTTTAAAATATTAGATAACTACCCTGGCTGGTGTGACTCAGTGGATTGAGTGCTGGCCTGCAAACTGAAAGGTCTCTGGTTCAATTCCTGTTCAGGGCACATGCCTGGGTTGTGGGTCAGGTCTCCAGTTGGGGCCATGAAAGAGGCAACCAATAGAGATGTTTCTCTTACACATCGATATTTCTCTCCCTCTCTTTCTCTTTCCCTTCCCCTCTCTGAACATAAATAAAAATTTTTAATAACAAAATATTAGAAAACTACGACCTGTCTAGAGTAGTTTTTCATGTATTTTAATAGGTCGATTGGCACTGTTACTTCTTTTTCAATTGGTTTTCAAGAGAGAGAGAGGGAGACGGAGAGAAACACCAATTTGCTGTTCCCCTTTTTTATGCATTCATTGGTTGATTCTTGTACATGCCCTCACAACCCACAACCTTGGCTTACTGAGATGATGCTCTAACCAACTGAGCTACTGGCCAGGGCCAAGGAACTGTTACTTTGAAGCTTGGGTACATGAGGTCTGTCCGGAAAAAGACCAGCAATTGTTAATGTAACAAGAATGGTTTGTGTGACATTGATGTAACATGGCAGCCAAGGAGAGTGGACTGGAATGTACGTGTGTGAACAAGGACGACTTCACTGTACTGTTCCATGGGGGTGGTAGATGCCGTTGAGTGAGCATGTGTACTGTGTGGCCCTTGCATTCGAAATGACTGAGTAGAGCAACGAATCTGCAACATATTTTGTGTTAAGCTTGAACATTCCTTCTTGGAAACTATTCAGATGATTCAGAAGGCTGCAACTCTGGGCAATTGGTGATGCGCAACTTTATCACAACAATGCTCCTGCCTGTGCATCAGTTCTTGTGCAGAGTTTTTTGGAGAAACATCAGATCACCCAGGTGACTCAGTCCCCCTAAAGCCCAGATTTGGCACCCTGCAGTATCTGGCTTTTCCCAAAACTCACCTTTGAAAGAGAAGAGATTTTAGACCATCGATGAGATTCAGGAAAATATGTGGCAGTTGATGGTGAAGGGGAGAACTGTGTCAGGTCCCAAGGTGCCTCCTTCGAAGGGAATGGAGGTCATTGTCCTATGTACAATGTTCTTGTATTTTGTATCTTCTTCAATAAGTGTCTCTTTTTTTCATAGTACATGGTTGGATACCTTCTGGACAGATCTCATATATAAGTACATCATCTGTGTACGCTGATATTTCCTTAAAACCCTGTATTTAGGCTTATTAAGCACCAAAAAACTTGGAGATATTAATCAGTGGCTTGCTTGGCACCTTTCAAAAATACAAATGACGACTTGGCTTTGGAAAGCATAACCAGCTTTCCTCTCCTTGGCAATCAACATACTGCATTGGGAAGGACAGGGTTTCTGTCAGAAGCGAGGTGTACTTAATTTTGGACAAACTTTTTCATGAAGGGGATGAAAGGGTAATATTATACATGTATTTTGTTTAAACAAGAATAATCATTAGCTTTCACCTTAAAGAGTTTTGCTGGTTTTATTAGATCTTGGCTATATGCCATGTGCCGTGGAATTGAACACGATCCAGTTAAACCCAGGCAACTTCCCAAAACCATTGGCTGCAGCAAGAACTTCCCAGGGAAAACGGCTCTGGCTACTCGGGAGCAGGTAGGCAGGCACTCTTGACAGACATTGCTCCTTCTAAGGGGGTTTAATGGGCATGTTTTGATAACTGCAGAAGATTTAATTAGATGGAATTAATGTTAGAGTGAATCTTTAAGCTATAAAGTATGAAGAGGATAGAAGTTCTTTTTTGTGTGTTGAAAATGGACTAGTTTTCATTGGATTTGTTATTTTTCCTTTTGTCTACCTAAAAAGAAATAAAATGGAAATGATAGAAATTTGAAATGGAATTGCTCATTTTTTGGTAATTGAAAACTTGGAAAGTCTAGGATATTGTGCCTAAGTTTGTGTCATTTTTTTTCTCCCTCAGAGCTGGAACATGCCTGAAATTCACCTGATGGCATGCCAGCAGGAAAGCAAAATGAACATTTTGAGCTAGGACAGGTTAGAGTGCTGAAAAGTTCTATGATCTGTTGATCCTTTGGTTTGGGGGAAAACTTTATTGCACACTTCCATTTGGGAGACAGCTTAACAAATCCACCATCTCGTTCTAAAATAAACTTATGGTTTCTAAGTGAAAGGTTAAAGTCTCAATACTGGTTGTTTTTTTTTTTTAGGTACAGTGGTGGCTTTTGCAATTAGCCCAGGAATTAGAGGAGAGACTGACGAAAGACCGAAATGATGTAAGATTTTTTCTTTATTTCAGGGGTGAGATTTGGGATTTAAATACCAGTTTGAATGTCTTACCTTCTAGAGTAGAAAAGGTAAGCCAGGGCTGAAGATTCATTTCTTTATCCACTCTTCAAAAAAAAACAAAAACCGTTTTTTACTGATGTATATTTTTTAAAGATTTTTTATTTACTTATTTTTAGAGGGGAAAGAAAGGAGAGAGGGGGAGAGAAACATCAATGTGTGGTTGCCTCTTGTGAGCCCTATTGCTGGGGACCTGGTCTGCAACCCAGGCATGTGCCCTGACTGGGAATCGAACCGGTGAATCTTTGATTTGCAGGCTAGCACTCAACCCACTGAGTCACACCAGCCAGGGTTTACTGATTGATATATACATATACATATACATATATATATATATATATATATATATATATATATTTTTTTTTTTTTTTACATACCATAAAATTACTTGTTTAAAAAATTCACCCCAGCTAGTGTAGCTCAGTGGATTGAGCCTGGGCCTGTGAACCAAAGGATTGCGGTTTGATTCCCAGTCAGGGCACATGCCTGGGTTGCAGGCCAGTCCCAGGCAGGGGATACATGAGAGGCAACCATACGCTGATATTCCCCCCCTTCCCCTCCCCTCTGAAGATAAATAAAATCTTTTTAAAAATTCATACATTTATAGTATACAGTTCAGTAGTTTTAGTCTTTTCCAGTTGTTCAACTATTCCACAATTTAAGAACATTTTCATCATCCAAAAAAGAAATCCTGTACCTATAGTAGTTACTTCTGCATCCCTAGGCAATTACTAAGTCTCCTTTCTGTCTCTACAGAAGTGTTCTGGACAGTTCATATAAATGGAATAATACAGTATGTAGCCTTTTATGAGCGGCTTGACATCTTTAAGTCAATGTAATATTTTTAGGTTTTCCCACATTGTAGCATGTATCAGTACTTTATTCCTTTGTATATCTGAATAATATTCTATTATATAAATATTTCTATATTTTGTTTACCTATTCATCAGTGAAGATATTTGAGTTGTTTCCACTTTTCAGCTATAATGAATAATGTTGCTATGAATGTTCATTTATAGATTTTTGTGTAGACATAGGTTTTCATGTCTCTTGCTCCTGTATCCCTAGCAGTAGAACTACTGGGTCACATGGTCACTCTGTGTTTAGCATTTTGAGGCTGTTGCTGCACTATTTTACATTCCCAGCAATGTGAGAGGGTTCTTATTTCTTTATACTTTTGTTATTAGTTTTTAACAATTTTTAGCCTTATTAGTGGGGGTGATGAGGTTTGTGGTTTTCAGGTGCTTATTCTCCATATTCTTTCTTATCCTTTAGGGAGAGATGTCTATGGAGATCCTTTACTCAGTTTTGAAATGGATTGTCTCTTTATTGTGTTTTAAGAGTTCTTTATATATTTGGGGTATAAATCACTTATCAGATATATAATTTGCAACTTTTTTCTCCCATTCTGTGGTCTGGTTTTTTTTCATTGTCTTCAAAATTTTTTTAAATTTATTTTTAGAGAGGGGATGGGAAGGAGAAAGAGTGGGAGAGAAATATCAATGTGTGGTTGCCTCTCATGTGTCCCTTAATGGGGACCTGGCCTGCAACCCAGGCATGTGCACTAACTGGGAATCGAACCGGTGATCCTTTGCTTCACAGGCCCATGCTCAATCCACTGAGCTACACCAGCCAGGGCTCTTTTTTTTTTTCTTCCTTATTTGTTTATTATTTATTTATTTATTGTTCAAGTACAGTTTTCTGTTTTTTACTCCCATCCCAGCCCACCCCCCCAGGGCTCCCCACCTCCCTCCCATTTCCACCCCTCTTAGTTGTTGTCCATGTGTCCTTTATACTAGTTCCTGTAAATCCTTCCCCTTTTCCCCCTGAAATTCCCTCTCCTCTCCCCTCTGGTCACTGTCCCCCTGTCCTCTATTTCAGTGTCTTCGTTTTTATTTTGCTTGCTTGTTTGTTTCATTTTCTTGATGGTATCATTTGATGTGTCCTTCCTTTTTGGAACATCTGGGAGTCCTACATATCAACCGTATACTGGCAGGTATCATCCCAAACTACTTGTATGTGCTCCCTTTTCGCCGAATTGGTGGTGATTATTTGTTTTTGGTAAATGACATAAAGAGGGGTATGATCCCACTTGTGTTGTGGTCCTATTTGACTTTGCCCAGTAAGTGTCACCCTGTTCTCATCTCCATAAGCCTCTATAGAGGCTTCCCATGCTGTTATCAAGTGCAATGCAGTAGGGACGCCTGAGAAGGTTCATCTGTCTTTTAAGCTTAAAAGAACTTTATGCCAAAAATAATTCTAGACCTAGAATATCATATCATTTTACTTTAAAATATTCTACTGGCTTTCCTTCACACTTAACTCATGTGTAGATTTCTTTTATTCTATAATGACCAATATGTTTTGTCTCTAGCTTATTCTCTGACCTCATTTCCTATCCTCTCTCCCTTACTCCTCTTTAGCTTCCACTCCACTGGTCTCTTTCCCTTTTATTTGACACACCAACCAAACTCTCATCTTAGCACTTGCGGACTTGCTGTTCCTTCAGCCTGGAGAATCTTTGCTCTTATATTCTTATTTACTCAGGTCTGGGCTTAAATATAAGAGGGTAGCTGGGGACAGTAGAGGCCTCTACCTTCCCCAGCTACCCTCTCATATCAGCAACCTCCAGCATTCTGCCTTACTTTGCTTTTTTCCATAGCACTTTGTAGTCATTTCTGTTACATGTCTACTTGTTTATTAACTATAGCTCCTACTACAAGATAAGATCCCTTAGGGCCTGGACTTTGTTTTCTTCCATCCTATATCTCTAGACAGGGCCTGATATGTAGCAGGCATTCTCTGATGCTTGAATGGTTTTAGTCAACAAGGATTCCTTTGTAATCAGCAATTTGTATTCTCTCAAGATATGCAAATCTGTAGGTATTTGCAAAATGTACAAAAATACAAATTGTATTTTCACTCCCCAAAATACTGGTTTGGCTGTCTTTGCCTGGGGGTATTTCTTCTCACTAATATCTTTTGATTTTGAGGGGACCCGAATAATAGAATTTTAAATCATCTTTTATTCCACCTCTTGGTCTTTGTTTCTTAGTTTGTTTTGCCTCAAGCGTATTCAGATGCCCTGGCTGGTGTAGCTCAGTGGATTGAGGTTGGGCCTGCAAACCAAGGGGTCACAGTTCAATTCCCAGTCAGGGCACATGCCTGGGTTGCAAGCCAGATCCCCATTGTAGGGTGCATGAGAAGCAACCACACATTGATCTTTCCCTCTCTCCCCTTCCTTTCCCCTCTCTCTAAAAATAAATAAACTCTTGAAAGAATAGATCCACTACTCAATCTTGATATCCTAGCTTGGAACTTCCTTCCAGACAATTACTTATATGAGCTCTTCCTTAAGTCACAAAATAGAATATAGGACTGTAGGTATTTGTTATAATCTTCCTGAGTAGACATAAAAAAGCATTCAGAAGACTCCATTTTCATTTATTCTGTCCTCTTCCCATCACTTATGAAAATTTCCTATTCTAATAATCCATCATCTAAATTAATCTTCTCCAATTTCTTCTATTAAAAAATAGCACAATTTAAAAAAAAGTTTAAATTAAACCTGACTATTTCCAAATCATTCTGTCACCCTAGTTCTTTTAATGTCCTCTTGAAACAGAACCACTCTGGATTCTGTTGCCCACCATTGATAAAACTGTGACTCCCAATGCCAGAGTCTTATGAAAAGAAAAGAAACTATTTATTCAAAAGTTATACGGGTTTTAGCCCTGGCTGGTGTAGCTCAGTGGATTGAGTGTGGGCCTGCGAACCAGACAATCGTGGTTCGATTCCCAGTCAGGGCACATGCCTGGGTTGCAGACCAGTTCCCTGCAGGCCAGTTCCCAGCAAGGGACACATGAAAGGCAACCATACATTGATGTTCTCTCCCTCTCTCTTTCCCTTCCCTTCTAAAGATAAATAAATTTTAAAAAAAGTTATACAGGTTTAGAATAATGGCAGAATTCTACTATTAGATCCCACTCCCTTTAGAAACAAAAAATACCCATAATCACTCAGTCCTGCCTCCTCTTGCCAAAGCAGGTCGGTCAGGGGTACCATCACTCAGGAAAATAGAAGTCTGTAGCTTAGCTGGACAGATTCCCTCCTGTATCCAGTTATTTCCCGTCATTCAAGCTTGGCTAGGCTCCTGCCCTTAATCCAAAACAGCATAGCCCCTCCTCATGGTGGGCCAGTGGGGGTCCTTCTGCATCTTTTCAAATCAGGAGACCAAGACAGCCTTCTCTGCTCCCAAGCTGCATGGTTAAGAGACCATGGCTGCTCCACATTTGGTTTTAAATCTTGGCTCTGATCTTCCTCCATAACCCCATTTCCTACTCCTCCCACAAAGGGTTTCACTTCCTAGTCCTCTGGTTTCTTCTGCCTTTCTCTGCTTCCACTGTTAGTCTGGGCAGTCTTGCCTCTGTGATGTGAGACTCGCCTCTGGTAACCTACCTCCTGGCTGCATCATGGGTTAGAGTCCTGCCTGGTCTCCCTGGCTGTTAACATTATTAACACACTGGCCAAGTTCTTTAGATATGCAAAGTAACTCTCAATGGTCCTGCTCTGATTCCCCTTCCCCAAGCCAGGCTAGTGAGGGATTTGGGGGCCTGTAGCTCAGTACCCCATTATGTTCTCACGCAGTTCAGTATACAGCATCCAGATGCTCATGGTAACTTTAGTTCTGTTTTCAAACCTTTTATACCCACAGAATGACAGGGTAGCCACGCAGCTGGCAGTGAGCATTCGTGTACAAGGAGACAAACGTCTCAGCAGTCTGCGCCGCTGCTGTGCCCTTACCCGCTATGATGCTCACAAGATGAGCCACGACGCATTTGCTGTCATCAGGAACTGTAACACTTCAGGGACACAAACCGAATGGTGAGTTTCTTTCTAGCTCATCTTCTCAGAAGAGACTTATATCCTGTCTTGCTCTAAAATTGCTCTATACAAGCTTTCCAGCTGGGATAGGTTCTTTGTGACTGGCCAGCAGGACCTATTACAGAGGGGAAGGGTCACACACAAAGGAGAGGACACAGAAAACAGAAAAAAGGCAGATTGGCTGCAACTTCTTTGACTATGTTTGGTGCAGTCCAGTTCCCAGGGGCAGGTTTGAGATTCAAAGTGAATCAATACCATCCTGCCCTGGCCAGGTAGCTTGGGTGGTTAGAGTGCTGTCCTGATGCACCAGGGTTGCTGTATGTTCCCCAGTCAGGGCACAGACAGGAGACAACCAATGAATACATAAATAAGGGGAACAACAAGTGGATGTTTCTCTCCCTCTCTCTCTCAAATTAATACATTTTTAAAAAATTTTAAAAAAGAAAAAATACTATCCTTACCTGTATCAATTTGCAGTAGTCTGGGGAATGGCCATTTGCACTTGGGAGTACAGAATTCAAGTTTCAAGAATATAGCACACTTGGGAACTTCTTTCTCAACTTCTTCATTTTTCTGCCTTCCTTGATAATGAAAGTTTCATTACCCATATTCATCGGTAATCTCTAACACCCCAACTCAGTTACAAGCTACACTAGTATAATACCAAATATCATATTATAATAAACTTCAGTTGGTCATGAAAAAATAACTAAACACATGATTGGAGTGTGTTCATTTACTGTCCAGATATTATTTTCAGTGTTGGAGTCCTTTAACTATTTAACATAGCCTGTTACATTAAAAAAAACTGTATTCCAAATTAGCAATGGAAATATAATTATGTGAGGAAAATAAATTGGTTATTTATAGACCTATATTGACAATTATAAGAAATCAGTTTAACTATCTAACTTATTATCTAAATATATGGGCCAACACTGTTATATGTACAAAGACTATTATATAGCCTTTTTTGTTAGAATAATTAACTTTTACTCTCTGGTATATTTATTTTCAAAAATTGAATATTTTTACTGAACAAAATGATAATGGTGATACTATGTTCATATGAAATCTTAAAAATTGACAGACTATAATAGATATTATTCATCAAGAGCTTGAAACCTATTGATAGGGAAGCATCAAAATTACCTGATTGTGAGATTGTCCCGAAGCATGAATCTGGAGGACAGTGAGACACTGTTGTAATCATTTAAAAACAGCATTTACTCTTTACATCTTTGAGAGACTAATCTGTATGTAAAAGCACATTTCATCTTCTGAAATGCAACTCATGCAAAAATTTGCCTTAGTAATTAGACGTAATGAGGAACTTTATGGCAGAAATTTCTTGAAATGCTTCTGTAACTAGGAGAGGTAACCAAAAGCCATTGTGGAATTTCATTTTCCAGAGACTCCAGAGCTGAAAGCCCGTCAGCGTTGGAGTTAGGTGGTGCCCTCTTAAAAACAGGAGAATGGGTGAGAGGCTATTTTCGGGAGTCTTTCTAGTCTAAATATTCTAAAAGCTTTTTTGTTGCCCAGGGTAAAATTTCTTGCCCTAACCAGAGTTACAGCAGCTCTGAAGCCGTAGCTTATGAAAATAATGACACTTCGCTGTCAGGGAATCCCATTTACACACATGTAACTTGGTTCACCAAATCAGCGATTCTCAAGGAGTGGTCCTAAATCAGCAGTATCAATATCACCTACGGACTTGTTAGAAAGGCACATTCTCTGCCCATCCCAGGTTTATCGAATCTCTGTTATGATACACCCTAAAGTTTGAGAGTCAATGCAGTAATAATTTCCTGCTGTGGTAGAACCAGAATCCCAGTGATTTTTTATCATTCAAGTCTATGACCTGGTGCTAATCTTGTTCTTTTACTTTCCATACAGGTCCCCTCCCCTCACAATGCTTTTCCTCTGTGCTACCAAATTCTCCACCTCTGCCCCTTCATCTTGCACAGACATCACTGTCTTCTTGAGTAACGACTCAAGTTCTCTGCCAAAGGTGCCAGTTGCCAGTCCAGAAACTAAGACCCAGGGAAGTGGCCCATCGGTGACAGCCACTAAGAAAGCAGCCACTTCTCTGGAATCATTTTTCCAAAAAGCTGCAGAAAAGCAGGAAGTCAAAGATGCTTCACTTTCATCCCTTACTGCCACTTCCCAGGCCCTCAAGAGCAATTCACCACTGAAGCTCTCCTTACCTTTCCAAACCAGCCGTACTACAGGAATAGAGCCCTTTTTTAAGCAGAAAAGTTTGCTTCTGAAGCAGAAACAGCTTAATGATCCTTTGGTTGTCATCCCTCCACAAAATCTGCAGTCTAGCCCTAAAAAGTTATCAAAGTATTTTCCAACAAAATATCCAGATTCTGCCCCCGTCTGTGAAGAGGTTTTGAAGCTTGAATCCTTTAAAGCAACTCCTGCAGAGATGGATTTGGCTCCAAACAGCCGGAGCAGGCTTGCCTCTTTAACCTCCCAGTCTGCTCCGGAGGGCGCTCAGAAGGCAACTGCCACCACAAGCCTGCTGGTTACTGAGGACCAAGTGCCCTGTGAGAAGTGTGGCTCTCTGGTACCTGTGTGGGAGATGCCGGAACACATGGACTACCATTTTGCACTGGAGTTGCAGAAATCCTTTTTGCAGCCCCACCCCTCACGCCCGCAGGTTGTGCCTGCCAGTTCTCCTCAAGGCAAAAGAAATCCTAAGAGCCCTTGGGCCTCTAGTAATAAACGCCACAGGCCTGAGGGCATGCAGACCTTGGAATCATTTTTTAAGCCATTACCACCCTAAGTGCTGTCCTCAGGCTTGCTGCGCTGTTTTAATATTTTATCTGTAACCTGGGAAATGGAAATATGTTTACTTTTTAAGAAAATTCATAACTATAAAAAATTTATAAGAAAAATAATTCAGTTAAATACTGCATGTAGGCTTTTATTTCTTCACGGGCATGGATTCTAATTTCACTGCAAAGAGAAATGTAAAAATTTGTCTTCCAGAGATACAACTGCTTTGTGTTTTTAACCATAAAGTGTTCAGGGGGGCAGTGTTGTTACTGAACAAGAGGTCCGAGGGAGGGGGGGCAATATTTGGCCCACCTAGGGATGCCAAAAACTGCTACACAACAGGGGCCCCTTCCAAGGACAAAATACTAATATCTACTGGGCTCTTCTGTCCGCCGCCAATTGGAAAGACATCTCTCAATGCCAGAGATTTGTGAAAAGGAAACAAAATGTTTATTTAATGCTATTCAGGCCTAACGCCTCCACTAAAATATATACACCTACACCCACACAGCGCTCCCTTCTCCCACTGTCCCAACTCCGGGTACCGTAAATCAGGAAAAGAGCACACGTCTGTGTTGCAGGCCCCTGGTACCGTCAGCTGTGTCAGGCAGGATCTCTAGTTAATCCAGAGTACTGTGGTACCCTCTCACCTCACCAAGAGGGGGTCCTCACTCTGCTGAAACCGCGTGGCTCTCTCTCTCAATGGCTGCTGTGTCTGCCTTTTAAATCCTCGCACCCATCTTCCTCTGTACCGCTATTTCCGACTCCTCCCAAGATCAGTTACACCTGCCAGTATTTCTGTATTAATACAAGTTTACTGGGCTGCCATCGTTAGTCTGGGCAGTAATCATCCCATGTCCTAGAGCCAATCTTCTCCAAGCTCCTACGCAGGCGCTGTAACTTGGGGGACCTGCCTCCAGTTACATCTTGGGGGAAGTGACTTCATCCCCCTAGCTCCAAGCCTGGTCATAGCCATTTAACATACCCAAGTGACCCGCCAAAGGCTATAGATATGTTAAAAGACAATGCCATGGATTAGCTGCAAGGCTGTGGCTGTACGAAACAGCCCTACATGTTTCTGCTGCATGTGTCCCTTCCCCCCAACTCACACCTGTGGGGGGAAGGGGTGAGGACATCTTATATGTCTCTCCAATATTCCTATACACTTTGAATTCTGGGCACCATTTCAAATCTTTTTTGCGCCCCCCCCCCCCCCGGCTGCACCCTGTATCAGTGTCATATAGTTGAATTGAAACCTGGGCCATGGAGCCTTGGAGCTCTGGTTCCAGACCTGACACTGCCTCTCGTATGGTAGTGTATATGGCCTGGAGCAAGTCACTTTCCTTACTCTCCCTCGTCTTTGAGATGAGCAGAATTGAGATAATGCCTTACAGATTACTGAAGATTAAGAACAATTTCTTAAAGTACTGTAGCAGAGAAGGAACTGAGTAAAAAAGTTTTTAGAAAAATGTCCCCCCTTCTTCTGTGACGGGCTACTCAGCAGGTTCTGAATTTCATACAGGCAAACTGTGTGGATAGCCACAGTTTTAGCCTTGGCCCTTCTACCTCTTGCATCTTGCTCTAATGTACAGGATTGCTACTGGACCACTTAAGGAACCCTGCTTAGACTGGGTAGTCATGACCAGGACTAGATTACCTCTAGAACCTCTCTACTCGCGTGAGGTTGAGCAGCAGCAGCATCGGGGAACTTGTTAAAATTGTCGCGGCTTCACTTCCACCCCAGCTGAATCAGAATCTGTATATTAACAAGATTCCTCAGGGTATATCTTCAAGTTTCAGAAATACTGATCTAGAAGAAACCAACAGCTGGCCAGATTTGTAGAGAGCATTTTCTTAGACCCTAGACTACAAATTTAAAGGGTAAGTACTTGGGCCTTCAGGGTCACTGGTGTGCTCACGTTTCCCTGTTGAAGTGACTGTTTAGCTTAGGGTTTTGAATTGTAGCTTTTTGCTCTTGTCTGCATTTATAGTGCTGTAATTTTTGTCTCTGCTATGTGGAAAGTCAGGGTTTTTTTTTCTTTTCTGATATGGGGGCCCTTGAATAACACTGAAGATGAGCCAAGTTACCTGGCAATGAGGGAGTGCAGAAGCAGGGACAAGGGTGCACATTATCTCCCCTTAGATAGATCTACAAAAATCAACTGCTTTTTAAGCTTATTTATAAACTGCGGGGGGGGGGTCTGTTTTTAGTTTGAAGCAGGGGGAAAACAATTGAAAACCACTAGGTCTAACAGGAAATATCTTCCTCCAAAAATATTTAAATGTCTAATAAAAGACAATATTTACTCTATACATCGTCCTTTCCCTACTAGGTCTGTAGTTTCTTGGAGGCAAGAATTTTTCACAGTGCCTTGCACATAACAGATGCTTAATATTAATTGGATGAAACATATATAATGAAAAATTATAGGTGGTTACTGGGACTAGAAGAATAAAAATATACATACTACTGGGGGACAGGGGGCTTTTATCCTTTCAAATGTTCTCTTGACCTGAAGTGGCTCACTGGAGTTCCTGGAGGAGTGTCATTAAAGTACTGAGATGATTTTCTAAAATTTTTCTTCTTAACCCAGGAAGAGCTTTTAGAAAATTTTAAAAATAAAAATGCATTTTTGTTCTTTAACAGGTGATTATGTGCAGGTTTCATATTTCAAATTCACTTATAACCTAAGAAAAATTGTTTTAATTCAGTGGTGTATAAGAATGAATTATGCCAGGATGCCATCATTTCATATCTGCTGTCGTTGATGGCGGCCAGAAGCCCAGCTGGGGTCCTACCAGGAGCTTATTGATAGGAGCTTGTGGAGAAGCAACAATGGAAGAAGGTATTTAGACTGTAAGTACTGAGAGTTTGAGGATTATTTGAGAGTTTTGGTTTGGATGAGGTCTCTTCACTAACCTACAAACTCTCTAGAAACCTTGGAGACATTTGCTCCTACTCATGTGCAGTGGTGTTAAACCCACGCAGGGCCTCAGAAGTGATGATATTCGTGGCACCTCAGCCCTCCTGCTGACACCCCTGCCCTGGTTGCCTAGCGATGAGCTCTAGCAACAGGGGACTTTTACTTTTGTGCTGGCAGCTGGAGATCAGCTTTTTGGTGGCTCTGCTGCCAACTTTTTGGAGTGCCTCTTGGTATAAAAAGGTACACTTTGTATTAAGTTTGGACTTTACTCCTTCACCTCCCCTTGATTAGAACAATAGTGTGGCTAATCTATTATTTGGTATATATTACTTCTTTACTTGGCTTATTAAGAGAGATATTGTGTTCTGGCTGGTGTGGCTCAATGGATTGAATGCCTGCCTGTGAATCAAAAGATTGCCAGTTCAATTCCCAGCCAGGGCGCATGCCTGGGTTGCAGGCCAGGTCTCCAGTTGGGGGTGTGTGAGGCAACCTGTCAATGTTTCTGTCACACATTGATGTTTCTTTCCCTTTCTCTCTCCCTACCCCTCTCAAAAATAAATAAAACCTAAAAAATATTGTATACTACTCACTGGCTTATGAAATTATAATTCCCACAGTGAACCTGTGCTAAATAAATTGCTGGCAAAGACAGAAATCAGTCTCTGGGCACAACTTCGCTGCCTGCCCCAAACAAAAACCATATAGTTTTTGCTGAATATAACCTTTCCTCATGGCTCAGCAACTGTACAGGAGATAAACCCACAGGAGGAAGTTCTTCAACCGTAGGCTTCTTAGCAGCAAGATGAACCAGTGGTATTTTTAAAAGCAGCTGAGCTTGAGAGGTAGGGAAAACTATCACTTTAATACCCTGGAGGCAGGATGTTCTGGGACCTTGGGCCACATTTATCACTAAACTTTTTTTGAAAAGTTCAGTATTCAAAATGCAGTCCCGCTTTTTGTAGTTGACTTTAACATCACACCCTATTCCTCTACCCACAAACTGTGATAATCAGGTAGGTACTCTGAACAGACTCAGGAAGAAGGGACTAAAGGTTGGCTAGGTGGCATTCATAACTCCAAGAAGCCAGTTTAGTACACAGACCTCACTTCAGGCTATCTGCATTGCTAGAAAAGCATGAGGCTTGGATTACCATGTCTTTAAATTCTACTCTTCATTAAGTAGTTGGCATACTAATTTCCAAATCTCTGACACAGTAGTAGGCCTCCTGACCACTGCAACCATTAGCAAGTGGCCAATTCCTCAAGTGTGGGGTGGTTGCCTATCTCAGCTAAAAGGGTGGCAGTTTTGCTTTCTGTTTTGTTCACTCAAAGAACTATGCAACACAGGCCTGAATGCTTGATCACAGGACTGGAACACTGATCATGTGGAGGGAGGAAAGGAATAGCAAATGAGGTATTAGATGAGTTCTCTCCTCACTCAGGGCTCAGCAGTGTCAGGGTTTCACTTATCTCTAGTCCTGGACTGGAATCTAGATCTGGAAGCCGAACCTATCTCTTAAGCATAAACACAGTGTGTTCAATAAAACATTTTTATTCTGTACAATATATATGTATATTTAAATATATATATATGTATGTACATATATATATGCAGAGAAACCTCAATCGACAAATCCCTGAGTCCACGGGAACCCAGGACACTGACAAAGGGAAAGGAAGAGTCCATGCCCCGAAGAGCAGGAAACATGGCAGCATCTCTCCCTTTTCTCCAGGTTCCCAGCAACGGCGGGAAGGGATAGTCACTGCAAATTGCTAAAACGAGAGAATCGTCCCATTCTCTTGTGTAGGAGCGGGAAGTAGGGTGAGGGTGGCAGGAATGGGGGCTGTGAGTCAGTCTGGGGAAGTAAGACATACTGTTTGATCAGCATTAAAACCAACAGATCACTGCAGAGGAGGGGACAGAACTGACATGTGGCCGACCTTCAGTATGCCAAGCCTTAGCTCGGCACCCCCAGGCCTGGGCCAGCACAACAAATAGCACCTGTGGGCTTATGAGAGGAGAAACTGGGGAAATGCCCTTGAGTGAAGAAGGGAAGGGACATAAAGCAAAGGAATCAGCCACACGTCTCAGTACAGAATGGGAGCATTGCCATTCACTGTCCCTGTGCCTTTTCTTCAGACCCTGGGCCACCAGATGGCCCGGAGCAGATGTCTTCTGTCCATAGTCAGGTAGAGATGGCAACTTATAATGGTCTTCAGAAGAGGTATAGAAAAAGAAATGCTTTTGAGAACCACCCCTAGTTGCTGTGACAATTCCTGAAATGCAGGGACCACACTGGTGAATCATTCCCAGTCCTGACGGCGGGGCCAACGTCGTGACGGTCAGCTCCCTCTAGCAGACAGGCCACGGGGTTTCCAGGGTTGATGAGCCAACCAGGTGGACACATGGCTGCTGAGCACTGCCCTGAATTCTCCTGTCTTCTCCCTCAGGGCTGCCCCTCCCTGGCCACACCAAGCTTGGCACCTCTCCAGAATGATGGCAGGGAGCACCCCTCTCTCCCTAGCCTATTAACACACAGAGCCGCCAACAGGGGGCAGCATGGCCGGTCACCTTGTATATTGTAGGGACAGCAATGGAGCTGTGCCTCCCTGGAGGAGTTCAGAAGCCGTTGGCCTGGGCTTCTCCTGCTGCAATGGCTTGCACATCAGTGACATGGCCGATGCCCTTGGTGACACCCTCCCGGAACAGCAGCTTGGCGCCCACCTTCAGGTACTCTGGGTGTTTCAGGAAGCGGAAACGTACCACCGCCTTCTCCCCTGTCCGTAGCTTGTCCTGCAGCAGATATGCAGTCACTGGCCCTGGACAGAGCCCCCCGTCCCATTCTCTACCAGCCTGGGCTCTCCACCCTTGGGGGCCTATCAGGCTTCTACCCACCCTAAGTGGGTCTCTGTCCCTTTTGTAGAACCAGGGAGTTTTCTACGAGTCTGTGGGCAGGCCCTTCTGAAGGCAGAATTTTGACTTTTCCCTGGAAAAACAGGCATGGCTGGGTCTCTCACCTTGGCGTGGATCTTTTCCACCACTGCCGTTTGACGGACATTGCCCACGTGTACCGTCACCTGGAAGCCTCGCCGGAATGTGGTGGCATGGAACAGTAGGACTATTTCTGCCTCGAACACTGAGCAGATGGTGGGATTCATCTCGGGGCTCACCATCACCATGCCCTGGGGAGGCACAGCCCCAGCCGTGGCGTTAACCCCTCACACCCTCAGAGCTCCCAGGGCTCCCCTTCCTCTAGCACTTCAGCCACAGGAACTCAGGAGACAACGTTCAAAACTCTTCTCTTAGAGGGAACCCCTCCTTACCCACCTCCCAGGTCCTCTAATCCTTCTAATGTTTTGTATATCTAGGGTCCTGGACACTGGGCTTGTACCCCAGTGATTCATATTTAGTGATCTGTCCTTTATGGGCATGCTAAATCTTTTCAAACACAGACAGCCCGTGAAAGCAGTTTCTTGGGATACAGGCCATGTTTTCTTTGAGTTCCCTTTAGCCAGGTGCTTCTCTTTGTGTTCCCTCTCCAACTCTCCCTCCCACCTCACCTTGCGAAGGAGCGCACGGTCAAAGTCCCCAAGGGCCAGCGTAGCAGCCTGCCCAGCTCGCAGCACACGGCAGGCAGAGCGGTTGCGCTGGATGCTGCATACTCTCAGCTCCAGGAAGCAGCCATCGTCCGTGGGGCCCACCACCAGCTGGTCGCCCTCTCGGCAAATCCCACTGTAGCCCAGGGGGCGGATGACAGTGTCAGCCTGGGATCCCTTACTTCTCTGCTAGGGTCACCCAGAGCGTTCCTTCCCTTCTAAGGTGAGTCCCTCAGCAGGGGGAGAGAGACCCTAAATTCTGACTTGGAGATAGGGGAGATGCTTGCTTTGCCCCAGTTCAGAGTTCAGACTCTGAAGGGTCACAATACTCTGAAGGGCAGCGACGGCTGGCCGAGAGTACCTGCTGGTTTGATACTCAACACCTGATCCCTGAAAGAGCAAGACATTCCCTTGAGCCTCTGCTTTGGAAAGAGCCTTAAGGAACCTCTCATTTCCCTACTTGAAGGTGAGTGAAGTCAGCTAAATATACTCTAGCTATCTTCCTGGGGCCCAGGACCCACACTTCTCCCTCAGGAGCCTGGAGGTTCCTAGTAAAGCAACAATACTGTTTCTTCCCTCATGAGCCAACAGACTAGCTTTCTCCAGCTCTTCTGATGGTGAAAGCCTAGTCTGCAGACAAGCATGTCTGTTAGCTGGGCTCTGTTCGACTGCAGGGTCTCCCTTGGGCCATTTCTTCCAGTGTATGGGGTATATGAAGGCTGAGTGGGGTGGGTAGCAAGCAAGGAAGTTCACCTGGAAAGTGTCCCTCCAACAACTGTCCCCACTTCTGGTACTGTATAGATTTCATCCACCTGAAGCCAAAGAAAATTCTATCAATGGCCTGGCAAGTCGTGTTGGCAGGTCCAAACTCTCTAAACAGACTTGGTCTTGGCCAGAATTAGTCCTTCCTAGCTCCCCAGCTCACTGCCTGTCTGGGCGGACAATCACCTGAAACTCAGTCAGCTGCTGCATGAGTTCCTCCTGCTCTTTGCTGTTGGTGAGCGGTGGCAGGATATTCAGAAAGACTTTGAGCAGGTCCAAACTCTCTCCAGACACACTGGACAGAGTGAAGATAGGGGTGACACTGTAGAGGGAGGCATGGAATAGATGGATGAGGCAAGTTCTAACAGGAAGCAGAGGCTATAGCCCCATGCATGGAAAGGTGAGCTGTTTTCAGGGTGGCTAGGGGCCCCTCTCCTGCTGATCTTTGCAGGAGCTGTGGGACCTCTCTCTCTGTGAGCCAGCCAAGGACCCATCCCAGAGCCCAAGAGAGCTGGCAAATTCCTGACACAGCACTTCATCTCCAGGGTCCCAGGCATCACCCAAGTTCCAGGCTGGCTTGGGGGAAATGCCAACACTTTCAAAAAGACTCTCTTCCACAATCCCAACCTGCAAAACCACAGAACTGAGCCAGAACTGGTCTGGTCCTGAGGTGGGATGCCATGCTCCGGGGCCCTATGGCAGCTTTCCATATGGACCAGGGTTCTGTAGTGAGAAAGACTTACTTGGGTGACTGAGCAAACTGCTGGGCAGCAGTGACAGCATCATCCTCGGAGGTGACCAGCATGGGTACTTTGTGGCAGCCAGGCTGCTTGAGGACCCGCTCTAGCTGGCGTACCGTCCTCTCCACTGTGGTCTTGGCACACAGGTCCACCTTGCTGACCACGATGAAGAAGGGCACTTTCAGGGCCAGGGCTAGCCCCAGATGCTCCCTTGTTGTGCCAGCTGCCTCAGAGAAGGAAGGCAGGCATCAGAAGGGAACGTGGGAGGGAGAAGAGGGAAAAGGGCAGAGTTCATCTGGCTCCCAGGTTTGAGGAGGTCTCGCACAGGGCAGAGTCAGAATCCACCTCCAGTCCCGCCCCTGCCCCCATGCCTCATACCAATCCCAGTGTTAGCACTGACGAGGAGCAAGGCGCAGTCAGGGCAGTAAGAGGTGAGGCCGAAGATAGTGGTGTGTAGGTACTTGTGGTGGCCAGCCAGGTCGATGAAGGTGATCATCTTGGAGCTGCTCTCACAGATCTCTTCTGCCGTCCGTGAGTCACTGTAATTCACCACCTGGCCCAGAGCCCAGGGCTCTCAGTGTCCCCTGCCAGCCTCCCCAACCCTTCAAGAGTTGCCAGGACCTAAACCAGTCCCTGGGTGACCCCAACTCAACCCTGAGCCCCATTTCTGATTTAATTCTGTCGATTCCCCATTTGTTTCCTAAGGAGGACAGAGTTTGTTCACTGCCCTCGGGGCCTCATCCACTCTCCAAAAAGTCTCCCTTGGACTCTGTCCCTCACCACTGCCAACCCATCCTCATAGTCTGGCCCCACTGGGTCCCGCTGATTGCATGCACCTCTCCCTTGCTGTTAAAGCCCAGGATCTCGAAGCTGATGCTGGAAGTTCGACCAGATTGAATCTCATGCAGGTGGCGGAAAAGGTTCAGCCGAGCCCGGCCCCGCCCATTGTCCAGCTCTCCTTGGGTCAGGACTCCAAGCAGAGTTGACTTCCCTGAGTCCACATTCCCCAGGACAGCCACACGAAGGTCCAGAAACTGTGGATGAATTGTCAGAGGTAAGGACTCCTATCCCTTACCTCTGACAAGGTTGGGTCAAGGGCAGTGCTGCTCCCTGGGGACCAAATGGTAAACTGGGTACCCCCAGTCTCACAGGCCAGGAGGGAGCTGCCATCACAGGGCCCTCCCACTCAGGAAGCATGGGTGTGAAAGGCAGAGAAGGGTATGTGCTCACCTGTTGGTTGTCAGGGACCTTTCGTACCAGCACCTCAGTGATCTTCCGGGGTACGTCGCTATCATAATCCACTTCTCGCTCCCGGAGAACAGTGATGTCTGCTCCAACCCTATCACAACAAGGCCACAGCTTCCGCATCTCACCTGTACTCCCCCACCTTCCACCCTGGCTCTGGATCAGTGGCTTTCCTGCACATTCCAAAGAGCTCCCAACACCTTCTTCCTCCCCTACCATGCTGCAATCGATCCCACATCCACAGCTCCCTCTAAACAATGAAACGAATCTTAAGTCAAGGAGCCACAAAGCCTAGGTCCAAATGTGGAGAAGCCCAGAAGACTAGCCCTGCCCACTGTCTAGAGAAGGCAGCAGAAAGAAAGTCCCTTTTTGGCCCCTAGGCCCTAGGTGACTGGGTACATGAGGGTCCTCCCCAGAGTTAGGGAGAAGAGAACTGAGGGGGAAGGGAAGCATACTTCTCTGCCATCCGGTGCAGGGTCTTGAGGGAAGCCCGCATCTCCTCCTCAGCCAGCCCCACCAGCAGCCCATTGTCCTCCACCCCAATCTGGTAGACTGCCTCACCGCGGCCCTCCTGGAGTCGCCACTTCATTTGTGTCACCAGGTGCTCAAAGCGGTACTGGGATGGATTCACCAGCTTCAGCTTAGGGCAGGTGAGGCATAAGAAGGTGAGATCAGAGATGCTCCTCCTGAACCCATATGTTCACCACCTGTCCTGCTGCAAGGACCAGGACCTTCCCCTCCCACTTCAACCTCCTCATACCTGACACCCTCTAACAAAGCCCTTACCCTGAACCATGTCCCTAAATTACTATAGATCATGAAGTTGGAATGATCTCGGAGAAACTGTCATCTGCCAAAAGGACAACCTGCTCCTCCCCACCCTAAGACTCACTTTATATTCGATGTTTCCATCTTCAGCCTAAAAAAAAACAGGTAGCAGTTACCAAACACGGTCCAGATCCAACCCCTACTTCCCCATTTCCTGCTGGGGCCCAGGCAGCAGCTCACTCCAGAGAGCAGGAAGGCTCAGTGGCATATGCCAAGGCATGTGCCTGCCAAAGGTCACTGGCAGACAAGCCCTCTACTCAGTCCCAATGTGACCTCTCTCAAGGAAAGGCCTCTAAGAACACAGTCACTCTTCTAAGCCAGGAATGGAACCTTGAGTTCCTCTTTTCTTTGATCAATGGCAGTATGCTCTTCCTAGATGTGAGACCACCCCTTCCTTCTCCCTATCAGGCCCTCAAATTGTGGTCCCCAGAAATCTCTATCTCCTCTGTCTGGGCTGCTAAGGCCATTCTTTGCCACTGCTCAGGGAGATACTACTTCCTTCCTGCCCACCCCTCTCAGCTGATGTAACCAAGAGTAGGAGGATGCAAGAGGTTCTGGACCAGAGCCAAAGGGTTAACTCAGCAGTGGCCACTGCAAACCCAGTGAGAGAGGAGCCCAGGTGAGACAAGGGCAGAACTTCAAAGTTGGGACTGAGGTAAAGAGAAGTAACTCAGAAAATATAATTAAGGGGACAGACTCACTGTGGCTTTTATCTCCTATCCCCTAACCCTTGTATCTCGGCTGAAGTGAAATCCTGAGTCTACCCCACAACCTCCTGTACCTCTTCCCTATTTTAGGTGACCCAAAACAGAAGTATCCTCTCCCTGAGTCTTCCCCTCTCAGATGCAAAAAGATATGAGATTTGCTTGTTCTGCTTCTCCTGCATTTCTGCATCCCTCCTCCCTGGCCATTTTTCTTCTTCCCTTCCTGTCATCATTTACCCCTTCAAGGCCCTCTGACTACAAGCTCTAACAGGTCTTCACCAATAATCTCTACCTCATTTTGCCGGAGATGACTTCAGAAAAGTGGTACAAGGAAGATTCAAAGTGCTGGTCCTAGGACTAGGAGCATTAGCATCACCCAGACACTTGTAATAAACACAGATTATCAGGCCGACCTCTGACCTACTGAATCAGAAATTCTAGGGGTGAGGCGGCAATCCAGGGGATTCTGATGTATGCTCAAGTTTGATACCGCTGGTTTAGGTTCTTCCTTTGGGTCCATCTTTCCTAAGATAGGCAAAGTAGCAGTTATTCTCTGCCTTATGGAGGCGTGAAGTCCCCACTTCCTTATAGGACAGGCAAAGAACTGGAGGACTATCTGACTGTTCTCTGGATGTGTATGTTGTGTGTATGTGTACTCAGGCATAGGTACAGAACGAATTGTTCTTTTCCTAGGTACTCCCCTTCTCCCCATGGAACAAGTTTAGAAAACTCTGCCTCCTCATCCCAGAATATAGTCTACCTTCCCTCCCTGCAACTCAGGGATGGAGCCTGGGCATTTCACTCTATTCTTCCCAAGGGGGTGGGAGTGGGATCTCCTTTTCCCATTTTTCCTACTGGCGTTTTGTTACTAGAATGGGAGGATCCTCCTCCCCACTCTTCTTTCCTGGGGTCCTGACCCTTGGGGAGAGGGCCAGTCTCGCTATCCCTCCTTTCTGGGGGTCCTGGGACCGGAAGGGGGTATCAATTCTCTTGGTCCCGCCTTTTGGGGGGTCTAGGAACGGGAAAGAGTGGTTTTCTCTCAACCCGCCACATCTCAGGTGCTCACCTCGGGAGGCAGATACGGGGGGTTGTTGGCTTTGCTCCCTCTGTTTCTTCCGTTCTTCTTCTTCCCCTTCGGGCCCCCACAGCTGCTGCTGCCCCCGGCCCCCCTAGCCTTGAGGGTTCCGCCCATGGCCGGGCCCCCTCCGGGCCGACAGCAGCCGCCGAACAGCTCCGATACCCGTGAGTCCATCCGCCGCTGCCGCCAGCCCCCCGCCCAACCCCTCCCCCCCGTCACTGCCGCCACCGCCCCCACTGCTACCACTGCGTCCGGCCAGCTAGTGTAGAGCGGGGTGGGGCCCGCTCAGACCACGCCCCCACCCTTCCCCCGCTCCCGGCGCGTCAGAAACAGCCGCGGTGCACCACGGGATATAGAGTCCTCCAAGCTCAGATCTCGGTCGAAAGAGGTCGACACCGCCCTACAACTCACAGGAGCCATCGCGGCACAGCGGGGCGCGGGTGGCTTCGGGGCGTAGAAGGGGAGCGCGCCTTTGTGCGCAAAGGTCTAAGGGACCTGTAGTCTGATTCCCAGTTTCTGCGGTCTGAACGGGTCCTTTTCTAAGGCTTTGGGGCAGGGGATCACTGGAGAATCAAGCTTTAAGGGGGCTCTTGGGTTGGGTCCTTTAGCGCAGTCCCAGACGTTTTGGACGTGGAGAGGTGCAAATTCAGGGCGACTGGTCCCTCCAGCCTGCTGGCTCCTCCCTTGCCTCAGTTTCTTCCCCGATGGTCCGCATGCCGTGGGGGTGAGTCAGGGCGCATGCCAGGGCGGAGGCGGATGATGGTTAGCCTAATTATGGCTGTTATTGTTACTATGATTTTGTCACCTTTACACAGCAGTCACTGCTTTATTACTTGCTGACACCCTCCGGGAGCTGGTTTTAGCAGCCCAAGATACCGCGGTAGGCCCCAGGCCCGACCCCATAAACCAGCTTTGCTCCCTGAGGGCTACAAGGATGCCGGCAGCGAGTCCTTCCCCTCCTTTTTGTTTTGAAGCAGAACCAATCGGGGAGAACCGAGTTTGGTTTTAAAACAGCAAGGGCTATAGGAGGGGCCTTGCCACAACTTGGGGCGGGGCTGAGGCTGGGGCTTGGGTTACGTCAACCACTACGAGGTCGTAGAAGTGTCTGGGAATAGAAACTTGGCCAAAGGCCCCAGAGGATTGCTGACTTTTGACTTTTTTGCCAAGCCGTCCGTCTTGCTCTTTAGGGCTCTGGCAGTCAGCAAAGAGTAAACACATTTAGCGACATAAACCAGTGTACAAGACACTAGAAAGGCAGAGTGAAGTTAGTGTTGCCAGGTAAGGAGTCAGGACGCCAGGGTTCAATTCCCAGCCCATGGCTATCTCATGACTCACTACTCATTGTATGTCCATTTCCCCTCGCTTCACAAACAGCGAGATGCTCACACACAGCCAAGAAATAAAACAGCCTATCCCTCCAGACCTCAGTTTTCCTTGGAAAATTAAAAGCGGTAACGGTGGCTTACCTCTGGTGAGCCTTTTAGGGATTCAGATTTGGTAGAGTCCATGGCTTCCCCACTAGGACGACAAGAAAAAAAGCAGTTTACTAATCATAGAGTTGCTGTCCACGTGGCCTAACTGCCCCAAACTAAAAACATGGGGGCAGAAGGACCAAAATCTGTACAAGAACCTAGCAGACCCGGCCAATTATGCGGTCTTCAGTAATCGAAAGCACATGTGACTTCTCTTCAACCCACTTCAGCTAAAGGAAGATTATGCTGTAGAGGTCAACCCTAGTCAGGGAGGAGCACAACCCCACCAGGAAAACTGCTAGTTAGAGGCTGAGACCAAAGCACTCAATGATTGGTCTCAAGAAGGGTGGGGATTGGAAGAGAAAGCTAAGATCATCCCAACTCTCTTAGTACAGGCAGCTCTGGGCTCTTGTGATAAGCAGGTCCTGCTGCACTTTCCTGATAAAACTTGTCTCTCATCTTTGTGTCTCTTTCAACCACCCCCAACACACAGTTTCACTTTATTCATCCCAATCCTGTTGTCTCCTAAGAGGAGAACTTTTTTTTTCAAATAAACTTTTAAAAAAGATTTCATTTACTTTTAGAGAGAGGGGAAGGGAGAAAGAGAGGGAGAGAAACATCAGTGTGTGATTGCCTCTCATGCGAGCCCCTCACTGGGGACCTGGCAGGTTCCCTGACTGGGAATTGAACCTCAGACCCTTTGGTTCATAGGCCAGCACTCAATCCACTGAGCCACACTAGGCAGGGCTAAATGGAGAACTTTTGAGAGATGGGAGGGAATAACTCATTTCGATACCCCATTCTTGGACAACCTGGTTTACCACAAACAGGAGTGAAGCCTAGCAGAGAAGTAAGGTAAACAGGGATGTCTGTCCAGGAGGAGATCAGAGTCCTGGGAGATGGCAGGTGGTTTAGTTTCCTGGAGGAGCTGCTTATGAACTGGCTGACTGTGGGGTGTATATTTATATATACCATAACTATGTGTATTTATATATACAGACAAAAATTTTTCTGATATATAACTAGTTATTTCTGTGTGTGTAGTACTTTTACATAAGATTTTAACTTATTTGGAATTTGTCTTTATGTAGGATGTGTGGTAGGAACTAATTTAATTTTTTCCCCTTCGAATTGGTTAGGGAGTTGTCTCAAGTTATTTGCTTCGAAAAGTCATCCTTATTATATACTAAGATTTACCTATACATGGATCTGTTTCTGAGCTCTCTTCTGTTTTATTGTTTGTTTGTTTATTCCTGAGTGAATACCACAGTATTTTAATCATTGTACTTTTATAGTAGGTTTTGATCTCTAGTTCCTGCTTCCTGAAACACACCCTTTTCCTGGCCTCTATGACTTGCTACTTATCTATTTAAAAATATTTTATTTATTCATTTTTAGAGGGAAAGGGAAGGAGAAAGAGAGGGAGAAAAACATCAATGTGTGGTTGCTTCTCATGCGCCCCTTACTGCGGACTTGGCCTGCAACCCCCCCAGGCACATGCCCTGACTGGGAGTCAAACCCAGTGACCCTTTGTTTTGCAGGCCTGCACTCAATCCACTGAGTCACAGCAGCCAAGGCTTATCTATTTTCCTTGATACTTCTCTGGCAACTCCTCAGTGTCTTTTAGAGCTTCTTCCTTCTCTGTTCATCTTCTAAATGTTAGTGTCTTTGGAATCCTAGCTCATCCTTACTTTATACACCCTCTCTGGGTGATCTAATCAAATCTCATGCTGGTGATGTTCAAATACTTATCTCTATTCCTGATGATGTTCTTAAATATTTGTGTAGTTAAATGCAAACTCAACCTATCAAAAACTGAACTCACCTTTTCTCCTTACCCACATCTCAATAAATCATCAAATAGCACAACTGGCCACAGAGATGCTGAAGTGAAAATCCTGCTTGTCTTCTTGGAAGCCTCTCTCTAGCTCTCCTCTTCCTCCTGGGATCAATCACCAGTAATGCTCCTTAGACTTCCTAAATATCTGTAGGGGTTCACCCAGTTCTCTCTACCCCACTGTGACTACTCTAGTTCAGGCCTCTTTCACCATGCATTGGGTAATTGAAGTTGCTAGATCTAACAGGTATCCCTGCCTCCTCTTTTATATCCTACCTGTAATCTAATCTCAGCACTGCAGCCAGTGTAGAGATTAAATTTATAAAATGTAAATTTAATCATGCTACTCTCCTACTTAAACCTTTCAAAGCAGCTTCTCCTTCCCTCACAGGATCAAGCTGAAACTCTAACATGGCTTATAAAGCCTTGTCATGACCTTGCTCCTGTTTGTCCACCACAGCCTTAACTCTTTTTTTAAAAAGATTTTATTTATCTTTAGACAAAGGAGAAGGGGAGGAGAAAGAGGGAGAGAAACATCGGTGTGTGGCTGCTTCTTGCACACCTCCAACTGGGGACCTGGCCTGCAACCCAGGCATAGACCCTAGACTGGGAATTGAACTGGTAACCCTTTGGTTTGCAGGCTTGTGATCAATCCACTGAGCCACACCAGCAAGGGCAGCCTTAACTCTTTATAACCTGAATTCTTTTCATTCCTTGAATAGAGCATGTGCTTGTCTCTAACATTCTCCAGGACCACTAGGTCCTCCTCTTTACCTTTACCCCATCCTACAGATCAGTGTCTTGGGCACATTTCCTCTGGACTACCCTTTACTCCCACCCCGTCTGGGTTAGGCACTAGTGTTCTTCACATCCACAGCCCTTGTAAACCCACGGTATAATTCATCGTGTCGTATTGTATCTATAGGCATTGAATCCCTTGAGGACAGCGTCTGCCTTGGGCTTATTTGTCACGGTGTCCAGCACCTAGGACAGGGGCCGGGACGAAGTAGGTGTCCAATGAAGAGTGAACACTGGAAAGAAAGGACGCGTGAGGGCGGGTGTCCTTTGGAAGGCAGCGCTCTGGCTGAGAATGCGTCGGTGTCCTTGTTGGGGAAGCTTTCCGTACAGGTACTAGCGGGTTAGGGAGTGAGCGCAACGCTCAACTCCCGCCTCAGCCCAGCCAGCACCACACCAGGGAGACACCGCGTCCCCTTCCGGCCCGGCGGAGCAGACTTCCCATGATGCTCGGCGCGACGCCCATTCAAACCGCCCGGCGAAGAGGGAGGAGGTCGCAATGGCAGCCCCGGAGCCGGAAGTAGTGCCCCCGGCTGCTGTCTCAGGTAAGGCACGGGGTCCGGATCTCGGGATACTTGGGGGACATTTTTATTTCCTACCGCCGTTCCCTCCCATCATTTAAACCCTGGCCCTTTCTCTGGCCGGTCTTCTTTGACGTCATTTCTCCGTGTCCCTCCCGGCCCTGGTTCGGCCAGAGTGACTGTCGCCTCCCAGCCCTGGATCACAGTGGTTCACCCCCACTCTGCCTTCAGTCCGGCGGCGTTCTGTAGCCCGCTCGACTATGCTCTCAACTCTGATCAGGGCCTCCACTTTCTGAGAGTAGCATCAGTCCCCTGTCTCAGATGTTCTGTCCCCCAACGCGGACCCCTGCCTCTGCTTTCTCACCATCCGCCGTCACTGAAGTCGTTTTAGGCGACTGGGTTCAGGAATCTCCCCGCCTCCGCCCACACAGACGTTTGTGGAGGGAATGTGTGTGTGTCCGGGTTCGGGTGGCTGATAGGGAAGGAGAAGACTGGTTTGGGCTTTTGAGGTTCTCATTTTTCTCTCTCCTCCCTCTGTGCGCCCACTAGATTTGGAGTGGTATGAGGAGTCGGAGGAAACCCACGCCCCCCAGATAGAACTACTTGAGACTACCTCTGCCCAAGAACCTCCCAACCCTTCGGAGTCATGTCGCCCCCGAGACTGCTTGGTGCCAGTGGTGTTTCCGGGGCCCGTTAGCCGGGAAGGCTGCTGTCGATTTACTTGTGAACTCCTAAAGCATGTCCTGTACCAACGCCAGCAACTTCCCCTGCCCTATGAACAGCTTAAGCACTTCTACTGCAGACCTTCTTCCCAGGTAGGCACAGGCTTTGGGAGAAAGTTGGCGTTGGGACTTTGTGGCTGTTAGATGGTAGCCAGGTAGAAAGGAAGTGTAAGGAATCTCCTGGGCTTCTCAGCCTCAACAGCCCTAAGGAGCATGTTTCATCCTGCGGCTTCAGTCACTTTCCCTGCGTTCCAACCTTTGATAGACTGACCCCTCACCAGCGTATCTCTTGTTTTCTTTTTCTGAAACTCCTGTTGTGTTGCCTTTGGACTTCATGAACTGACCTTTTAACTTTAATGTCTTCTCTCTCCAAATTTTTATCTCTTTGTTTTTTTTTTATGTTCTGCTTTCTGAGGGACTTCTTTGACTTTATATTCCAACACTTCTATGACTTTTTTTCTTTTTTGGCAGTCATAGTCTTGGGGCTCTTAATTTTTGCATGTAGCATGTTTCATGTCTATGTGAACTTCTCTTGCCTGTGGATATTAATTATTGTATATTTGGGATTTTCCTCTGTTTATTTTCTTTTTTCCTTTTTTTTTTCTTAGAGAGAAGGGAAGGGAGGGAGAAAGAGGGAGAGAAACATTGGATTGTTTGCCTCTGGCAGGCCCCCAACTGGGGACCTGGCCCACAACCCAGGCATGTGCCCTGACCAGGAATCCACCTGGTGGTGACCTTTTGGTTTGCAGGTTAGCACTCAACCCACTGAGCTGCACTCAACCCACTGAGCTGCACTCAACCCACTGAGCTGCACTAACCCGGGCTCCTCTGTTTTTGCAGTGTCTCGGTTTCTTCTGGAGTCTGTTTCCTATTTGTTTTGGTCTCTGACTTTCATGTTAGAGGCTTCTAGTCTATGTCTGGTAAATATTTAAGAATAAGCCATTGAAAACTCTGTATGCATGGCTGATAGACCAAGGATATTGGGTAGAAACCTATTGGTTTGTTTGGAGGACTCCTAAAACATCAATGTTAGAAAGTCTTCTCTCCAGATGGAAGAGATTGGCAGGTGATCCAAGGGTCCTCATGTTTTCACTCAATCCCCACATGTTCACTCTTGCCTTTTGCAGTGCCTACATAAGCAATTCCTGAGTCTGGGGTTTTGCTGTGTGAATCAGTTTGCTTCTCATGGAAGTCTCCTCTGTCAGCATTTGAACTCTTTCATCTGCTTTCTGTCCTCCAAAAATTTGTTGTTGCCTTTGGCTACTATTGTCTATTCTCTAGGTCTCTTTGCCCTTGGGCATCCTCCTTCCCTTTCTCACTCCCTCCCTTCACCCCTGCTCTCTCCTTTCTTCTTTCCCTTCTTTTTCCTTTCACTTAGTAGTATTTCATTCAGACGGGAGCACAAATAAGCATGTACTCAATTTGCCATGTTTAATTGGAAGACCAACTCCAGAATCACCTTTATTAAACCAAATAATCCTTGTTTCTGTTATCACTCCTATAACAGCAAAATTTTGCCACATACTATTCCACCAAATAGTGGACTCCTTGACTGCTTTAGTTATTTATTTCTGGATGCCCTCCTACTTCAAAACACGATCTTTGCTGTTCTAAGAGTGGGACAGTTTGGTTTTGTACAAAGAATGTATTTTCCTTTTTGATATATTGTCCTCTGATAAAACCCAGTGTCTTGGCTGTAGCAGTTCATTGAGCTGGAAATCCAGGCCCATAGTCTACTATATCCCAAACAACAGGGTTCTTCAAGGGTCGTTAACTTTCCCCTCCCTTGCTTTCTTTCTCACCATACATTGTCTTCATAGGTAGAGGACATGATGAAGAAGAAACCTTGGACCACCGCTGAGACAAACAGCAGGAAATGCCAACAAACCCTGGCAGAGCTGGAGAGTGTCCTCAGCCACCTAGAGGGCCTCTTTGCCCGGACACTAGTGCCACGAGTGCTGATCCTCCTTGGGGGCAGTGTTCTAAATCCAAAGGAATTCTACGAGCTTGACTTGTCCCGCTTGGCCCCCAACAGCATGGACCAGAGCCTGAGCACAGCAGCTTGTTTGCGCCGTATCTTCCGAGCCATTTTTATGGCTGATGCCTTCAGTGAGCTGCAGGCTCCTCCACTCATGGGCACCACTGTTATGGCACAGGGGCACCGTGACTGTGGTGAAGATTGGTTTCGACCCAGGCTAAACTACAGAGTGCCCATACGGGGCCACAAACTGACTGTGACCCTCTCCTGTGGCAGACCCTCCATCCCAGTAACAGCCTGGGAAGATTACGTTTGGTTCCAGGCACCAGTGACATTGAAAGGCTTTCACGAGTGAATGGGGATTCTTCTTAATCATGAAAACAATGGCTAAGTTACCTTTCCTTCTGTGGCACCAAGTCACCCATCTCTTGCCTGGAAGTAGAGTTGCTTCCTGATGAGAGGAAGGTTCTGTCCTGGCTTTCTGCTTCCCTTCCACAGACTTCCTGGTGGGCTGATGGTGTGACTGGGACTGTCATAATCATTGAACAACATCTCTTTGAATCAGAGGTTGATTTCCCAGAGGGTGCTGGGGCAGACTTTTTTGTTTGGGGTTGGAAAACAAATGTAGGCCCATAGACACAATTATGGAGGTGTCCCTTTTTCTGAAAAAGCCTATGGAGGCTTTTCAGAATTTTTACCAGGAACATAATGTGGGTGTGACTCATGAACTTAAATATAAAATGAATGAATTCATATTAAATTTTCCTGAAACTCTTGGCTACTTGAGACTACAGTATTTTGTTTTTTTCCTTAGTCTCTTTATTTTTTATTTTTTACTAGTGGCTCTTTCTCTTCTGCCCCAGATTAGTCTGGGAAGTTAAGTGATTTGGCCAAAGTTCTGTACTGGTTTGATGTCAGCTGGGATTCTTCATCAGCTAACTCCTAGCCTGATGTTCTTTCCTTTCACATACTGGTTTTGTGATCCTTAAAACATGTCTGCAAAGCAGAGGTCACATAAGGGAATGGGGCTGAAAAAAGAAAACCGAGAAGGTCTTTGCAAAGCATGATTGAATTGTATAGGCTGAGGCCCCAGGACTGCCTTGTGGGATCAGCTTCATGAGGACAAATGTCCCTTCTGGAATTCAGCCCTTCCTGTCTCCATTGCAGTTGTCTGATGGTTGCTGGCAGTTACTGCTGGCAATATTGTCCTTAGGCAAACCCTACCTTCTTGCCTGTGGCAATTCTTAGCTACTTTTCTGACTGGGCTTTCCTTATTCTTATTGTTATCCTCTCTGGTCTGATGCTGTCCTGACCAGTAAGCGGTTCATGCTGTTTGTCCCTTAGAACACCTGTTTATTTCTTGGAAGTAAATTGAGTACATATCTTCACCCTGCTGGTGCTGGCCATAGGGGTGTCTGTATAAATGGGGATAGTAAAAATATATACTTTTTTCATGTTTTAAGAAGAAAGCATTATGTTTTGTTAAAAAGAAACATTTAAAACAATAGCCCTGGCAGGGTAGCTTAGTTGGTCAGAGTATTGTTCTTATATGCCAAGGTGGCAGGTTTGATCTCCAGTCAGGGCACATGCAAAAATCAACCAATGAGTGCATGAATACATGAGTGGGATAACAAATCAATCTCCCTCCCTTTTTCTAAGATAAGTAAATTAAAAAAAACAACAAAAAAAAATAGCTTATATTTTATGCTCTCTTTTTTTAAAAGATTTTATTTATTTGTAGAGAGGGGAAGAGAGGGAAAGAAACAACAACGAATGGTTGCTTCTCATGCGCCCCCACCCTGGGGACCTGGCCTGCAATCCAGGCACGTGCCCTGGACTGGCAATCAAACCAGTGACCCTTTGGTTCTCAGGCTGAAGCTCAGTCCACTGAGCCACACCAGCCAGGGCTATGCTCTCTTTCTACTACTTCACATGTGTTTCATCTAATCTAACAAACTTGCAAAGTTTGTATCATTGTCCCCATTTTGACTGGGGAGTAACTTGCCTGAGAGTGGAAAACTGGATTCAGATCCAGCCTACCTAGCACTAGAGGCTGGTGCTTTACACTGCTGTGCATCCTGTGTGGTTTTACTGTGAAATAATTAATAGGATTTGCCTTACCAAGGGTGGTTGTGTTGGAAAGCTGCAGGACCCTCCTCTCTGGCCTCATACTGTTTCCCCACATGGATCCGACATTAATAGGTATTATAAATATGGAATCAATGAAAACAAAAGGTTTGAGTTCTTTCTGTGCTGTGATCATTTGAAGCATCTTCCACCAGCTAGAATTTTGGCTGTTTCTCTGCTTGATGATATTACCTTACAGAACAGCAATAGGGCCATATCTCCCACTTGGGAAGGGACATGCTGAGTGAGGGGTCTGACTAAAGGGAGGGTTTGGAACAGGGAGTTATAAATTGTTTTGAGATGCAAGACACATTAAAACATGTCAGCTCCCTCAAATACTGATTTTTAAAAGCCTTCAAAAACAATATTTAGCCCTGGTTGGTGTGGTTCAGTGGACTGAGTGCCAGATTGTGAAGCAAGAGGTCGCCAGTTTGATTCCCAGTCAGGGCACATGCCTGGGTTGCAGGCCAGGTCCCCAGTGGGAGTCATGGGAGAGGCAACCAACACATTGATGTTTCTCTCCTTCTCTTTCTCCCTCCCATCCCCTCTCAAAAGTAAATAAATACAATCGTTTTAAAAAAATATATATTTAGACAACCAAAACAAACGAATTACCTGGGTAATTTAGATACTTATTTCTCTATTGGTTTTGCATTGGGGCCCAGGTCATTTTGATTTCATGAGTCCTTTCCAAAGGAATCCAAAATTAAAAGATCATGTAATACTAACGATAAATCCTACCTCCTTCCCTGACAACAAGCTTGCTAAGGCACCTATGTTTGACCTTGGCTGGGGACTTCAGAGGCAGATGTGAAGTAGCCCGTCTTTAGCCCATGGAGTGAAGAGCTCCAGTTCCAGTGGGATTCTGCCCTTTCATACATTGCTACCATTTGGGCCTAAAAGCTACAGCTGTGGGATCCAGGTAGGTAAATAGGTGGTAGTTGATGGGAAAGTACAGTTTGTAAATGTCGCCCTTTTTCTACACCTTTTCACACCCCCTTTTTCCAAGGTGACCCTATGCCTTGGCCCATTGCCTCGGTCTCCATTTGCCACTTAGGTGGGATAGTACTATGGAAGGGGTAAAAAAAGAGTCACCTGAAGACTAAAGAGAATGGAATGGATGGACCATTACGTAAGACCTGTATTTGGTGGGGATTGTCTTAGATGCCTAGACTTAGCACCAAGAGTATCTTAAATTGTTTTCTTCACAGATAATTCTGAGGCCAAGAAGGGGCATACCTGAGGTGAAATACGATAGCTATTGTCACTGTGGTGGTGTCTTCCCAAGCCCCGATTGCATATACAGTAAGGACTCAATGGAGACTACGTGGAAGGACTCAGGAAAGGCAAGAATATCTATAGAATTGGCCTGGGTTGGGACTTCCGACCTCGCACTGTAGACTACCCTGTCTTTTTTAGAGGAAACTACGCTGATGCCGTGACAACTGAATACATCCTGTCACCTACTCGAGAAAGAAAGAGGCGGGGGGGGGGGGAGAAAGAGAGAGGGAGCTAGCGTATGTCCAAGCTTTTAGTAAGAGCTCCGAGGTAGTTAGGGCTGTCTGTGTTCCAGGAAAAGCGGAGTCACAGGTGGGTGTAGTCCTACTTCCTGCCTGAGCAAACGGTGGAGCTTTGGGTCTCCATGGAGACGGCTTCACGTAGCAACCGGGTGAGCGTTGAGCTGACCGGCGGGCAAGATGGACGCCGAGAGCCTCCTGCTGTCTCTGGAGCTGGCGTCGGGCAGTGGGCAGGGCCTGAGCCCGGACCGTCGGGCTTCGCTGCTCACTTCCCTCTTGCTGGTTAAGCGCGACTATCGCTACAGTCGGGTGCTCTTCTGGGGCCGCATCCTTGGCCTGGTCACCGATTACTACATCGCGCAGGGCCTGATTGAGGACCAACTTGCACCGCGCAAGACACTGTACAGGTGGAGGCGGCGCCCGGGCAGCCGAGGTTGCAGGGCGGCACTGGAGGGAGAGCCACGGGGAGGCTTGGGGACCCTCCCCGTGGTAGGAACCGAAAGGGGCTAGGCCTAGTGGAGAAGGGATTTGAGGGGGAAATGGGGAAAACCCTCCGAGGAGCGAGGAGCGAGGCCGAGGACCTGAGAACCAAATGCAGCTTAAGTGGGCGGGGAAGTGGGTGGGTGAGGTCTCAGAGGGCGGGGCTCTGGGAGAGCCCTCTTAATTTGGGGGGCAAAGGGTTGCAATAGAGTTAGAGGCCAGTGGGTTTATAAGGATCTGGGCCGAGGAGGGAGGCGGAGGAAGGTAAAAGTTCCGGGAAAATGGAGACCTGGAGCAGAAGTCAGGTGCAAGCCTGGTGCGGGCGGGTCTGGCTTTTCGAAGAGCTCGGTTTGGAGAAACTTTAGAAGCCCCAGGTGGTGGTGCTGTTCGGAAGCGTGTCCAGAGCATCCTCCGTGGAGTGGTTGACTTAGAGAAGGAGGCGCCCTAGGAAGTATGGAAGGAAAGTGGAATGGGAGAGAAGGGATTTTGAGCTGGGGGGAATTACGTGGACACTACCATAGAGAACCTGCATGGTTCTCGACCATGCTGCTTCTTGACTACCCCCAGTGTTGATGGGGAGCTCAACACTTTACAAAGCAGCCCATTAAGCACAGGAAGTTGGAAACTTCACTTAATCTATCTACGCAAAGTCCCTGAAGCAGGTGTGTGCTTAGTGTGTTTGCGGAACCTCATACAGGCTAGTATGGCTAGAGAGGGGTGAAGGACCGGGGCATTGTAGGACCTGAAGTCAGAGGGCTGGAGACAATCATGCATTTATTGCCTTGTGGGGCATTGTAAGGACTTGGCTCTATGGGAAGTCAGTGAAAGGTTGTGCAGCACTCTTCCTGTAGAGACAGGCCCACGCCTTTCTTGCCCCACTGGCATGCATCTTTACTTTTATCTCATCTCTAAGGGTTCCTATGAGACTTGCAACCAAGGGAGCAGTGGGTGGCAGCAGCTCATCCCAGGCTGACCCCCTGAGCCTGTCTCCAAGGCCCCTTTTCTCTGACTTCTCAGGGAGCAAAGCAGCTCCACCTGGGCTTTCCTGGTGCTTCTATCCTTAGCCAATCCTTGTTTCACTGTTCCCAGTTTTAATAAACATACTCCCCCCCCCCCAAAAAAAAGAAAGAAAGGATAGAAAAAGAAGGAAAGAAAGGGAGAAAAAAAAGAATGCAAAGTTGGTTCTGCACAGAAGTATGATATGGTTTAGGTTGTAGCAGTTGGGTGGGGACAAGACAGAAGGGCGAGTGAGTACAGAAGTGGTGAGACCAGGTGGAGGCTATTGCAGCCTCCAAACAAGAGTAAATGGTGGCTTGGCCCAGGGAGGAAGCAGTGGAGGTTGTGAGAGATGGTTGGTTGGATTCTGGATACCAACTAGTAGCTGGGGCTCTGGGAGTCAGTTGAGTGAGACTATGAAGAGAAAAGGGGGGTGAGTCTAGATCCCTGGAAATACTAAAGGCACTGGAGGAGGGAGAAGGAAATACTAAAAGAAGTAGGAATGGAAATGCATTTGTTGTCTTTTAGTTCATCCCATGGATGATCTTCTCCTAAGCAGTTTCTTGGGGTGGTATGGGCAAAACCCATGTTGCATTGGGCAAAGAGTGAAAGTGAGAGAGGGTTCCACAGAGTAAATCATTCTCAGATTATTGTTCAGAGTTGAGGCAGAGAGGGGAGGGACAGGAAAGGGGCATTTTCTAGAGGGGCAGGGATTTGAGGGCTGTTGCTTTAGAAAGCTGAGAAGTTTTTATGTTGAGAATGAGGCAGTAGAGAGTGAAAGGAGGAAAGATGAGCAGAGAGCAGGCTGGGGACACAGGTCCTGAGTGGATCAGAGAGGAGTGGGAGTATGTCCACGCCTGGTGGGAAATGAGAAAGAAGGGACTGGGCTGGCTCGTGCTCCTGGAGAACTCATAGGAAGAGAGGTCCTGGAGCCTGGGCCTGGCTTTCCTGAGAAATGGGGGGGGGGGGTGGCCTTGCTGTGGCCTCAGTAGGCAGACTGAGCACAAATTAAGGGCCCTCCAAAGCAGAGGCACCGGCAACTGAGGAAAATTCAGCTTCCAGAACTCCTCTGGAATCTTACAGGTATCAAGGAAGGCTCTCAGAATTTTGGCATACACAAACTTTTTATGATCTTTTAAAAAATAAAATGGAATTTGCATCACATTTGGGGGTGGGCGCACCATTAGGCATTTAGGGCAGTGTTTCTTGGGTTTCGCCCCTTGGGAGAAGGGGTGGGGCCCGGAAGCCTGAGCAAGAGCAGGCGTTGGAAACCGGGGGGTTGTGGATGTTGTTGACAGTGTGAACTGCATGGAGTGGAGCCTCTTGCCCCCTGCCACAGAGGAGATGGTGGAGCAGACGTCAGTGGTGAAGGGCCGCTTCATGGGGGACCCCTCACATGAGTATGAACACATCGAGATGCAGAAGGTGAACGAGGGTGATAAAGTCTTTGAAGAAGAAGTAGTGGTGAGTGAATCTGAGGGGAGGGGTCTGGAGGAGGAGGGCCTGGGCTCTCCAAAACCGAGCCCAATAGAAATTATGGCAACAACAACGTAACAACAGCTCCTGAGCAACAGGGTGGGGAGTGGATGGGCAGTGCTTGTGCAGCCTGGCTCTGGAGCAGGGCCAGGGAAGGGGGTCTGGGCTGAGCTGTGGGGTAAGGGCCTGGGTACAGGCTCTTAACATTTTTGTATCAATTTTTGTTTTCCTAGATAACACATACACATGGTTCAAAATTCAAAGGTACAAAAAGGAGTATAGTAAAGTGCCCCTCCCATCTCTGTCTTCTAGTCATCCAGGTCCTATTCCTGGGGGACTAATGTCACCATTTTGAGTGTATGTGTCCAAATCTTGCTCCTCAAAGAGCAGCCTGGATCAGAGGCATCACCATGCCCTGGGAGACAGAAGTGCAGAATAACGGCAGGCAGGGGTGGGGAGTGGGAAGGAGGAAGGGCAGGCAGGGGTGGGGAGTGGGAAGGAGGAAGGGCGCCAGGATCTGCATTTGAGCACATTCCCAGGGGATTCGGAATTCACATTTAAGTAATAGAAGCTCTGTTTCCAGAGACATTTTAGCAAATACAGACCCAAGTAAACACCTTACCTTTTACATACTCTTTTTATCGCAAGAGCAAAACAAAAAGCAGTGGCAGCATGTTATATACACAGTTCTGCACCCCGCATTTTTAACCTAATATTGGCGAGATCTTTCTACATCAGTGCCTTAAAGAGCCTCCCCACTCTTTACTGTCGTATGAATGCACCATAATTTAACCACTGTCTTTTTGTTGTTGTTTTTTAAGTATGTCTTTTTGATTATGCTGTTATGCTTGTCCCAGTTGTTTCTCCCTTTGCCCCTTTCCTCCTGGTACACCCCTTCCCTCCAGCAGTTACCCCTCTTATCATGTCCATGGGTGTGCGTGTAAGTTCTTTGGCTTCTTCATTTCCTTTTTTTGTTTTTTTTTAGATTTTATTTATTTTTAGAGAGGGGAAGGGAAGGAGGAAGAGAGGGGAACATCAATATGTGGTTGCCTCTTGTGCACCTCCTACTGGGGACCTGGCCTGCAACCCAGGCATGTGCTCTGACCAGGAATTGGACCAGTGACCCTGTGGTTCACAGGCTGGCACGCACTGCCTACAGTATTCTCAAAATCCACCTGTCTATTTTGTTCCTACAAATTATGCTACTTGATCCCTGCACCATCCCCCCCCCCCCACCCCGTCTCCTCCCAGCTCATAACCCTCCAAAAGATCTCCTTATCTGTGATCTGTTTCTATTCTGGTTGTTTGCTTAGTTTGTTTTGTTTTTATTTTTTAGATTGAGTTGTTGATATTTGTGAGTTTGTTGTCATTTTACTGTTCATATTTTTTACCTTCTTTTTCTTAGATAAGTCCCTTTAACATTTCATATAATAAGGGCTTGGTGATGATGAACTCCTTTAACTTGACCTTATCTGGGACGCACTTTATCTGCTCTTCCATTCTAAATGAAAGCTTTGCTAGAAGAGTTAATCCTGGTTGTAGGTCCTTGCTTTTCATAACTTCGCATACTTCTTTCCAGCCCCTTCTTGCCTGCGAAGTTTCTTTTGAGGAATGAGATAACCGGTGTGTCTCCTCCATGGAAATAGAGGTTTCCAAGGTTTAGCTCTGACAAACGGTGCCACAATGAGTGACCTTGTACATACATCATTTGCAGTGTGTGCGGGCTATCTGAATGATCAATTCCTGGAATGGAAAGCTAGGTCAAAAAGGAGCCCAAGTTTTGAATCCAAAAGTCTGGGTCCAAGTTTGTGATGCCTCAGCACCCATGCCCTCCTGTCAGACAACCCTAGGTTTTATTTTCCGTAAATTGGGGTAATTACATTTACTCCTCAGGCTTGTGCAGAGTAAATGAGGTGACATTTAAAACCCTTGGCCCAGATACTTATTAAATATTAGTTTCCATATCCCCCTTTGTAAATAGTCCCAGCTAATAGCCCATAGGAAATAGGTGGCTGAGTGACTCTGGGGGTCCCTGGTGATGTGTTCCCTTGTCAAGTGCTGCTTTTTCCCAAAATATCTATGAAGTCCTATTGTTGAGGGTTGCCCTTGATATTGATTGTAACCACATTTCATCTGCACAAAAATGTTACAGTACAGACTGATGCTCAGGAAATAATGTTAAATCAAAGAATAGAATGTGAAATTATATGCTCTGCTGGTGTGGCTCCAGTGCCCTGAAGTCAGGGCACATTCTGGGTGCAAGCTGGGTCTGCAGCTGGGGGCTTGCGAGAGGCAGCTGATCAATGCATCTCTAGCACATTGATGTTCATCTCCCTCTCTTCTTCCCTTTCTAAAAATGAATAAATAAAATCTTTAAAAAACTATTTAAACTGTGACTCTAATTGTGTTTTAAATACATGTGTTAAAAAAAGGATAGAAAGAAGTATACCAAAATGTTATTAGTGATAATCTTTAGGAGGTGGGATTATGAATGGTTTTAATTCTCTTAGGTATGTTATAAAATATTTCTGATTACCCAAATAGTTTACAGTGAGCATGATTGCTTTTATATTTTCAAAAGGCAAAATAAGCAACATTTATATATGATGATAGGATGGTATGTTTCTGGAAGGGTGCATAAAAAACCCTTAACTGTGGTCGCCCCCAGTGAGGGCAATTGAGGGACAAGGGATGGGGTGAGAGAGACCACTTTCTTTTTTTTTTTTGTTCTTTTAAATATTGTACCACCAGTATGTATTACCAATTTAAAAAAAGAAATTTTGATAGGCAGAAAGGGAGGGCTGGCCAGTGTGATTTTCCATGGACCTGGCATCCACACTCTGGTAACCCAGGTCAGATGGTTATGCAGAGGGCCCTGCACCAGGGGGGAGTGGGCACAGCACCCCTGCAGGAACGCTGGTCTACTGTCTCCTCAGGTCAGGATCAAGGAAGAGACCCGCTTGGTGTCCATCATCGACCAGATTGACAAGGCTGTGGCTATTATCCCCCGAGGTGCCCTCTTCAAGACCCCTTTTGGACCCATCCATGTCAATCGGACCTTTGAAGGTGTGTTCTCTGGGGCCTCTCTCATGGGCAGGAGGGTATCTCCTCCTGAACACAGTCAGATGCACATCTGGGAGTCTGGGAGAACCTGCCTACTTCCTCAGCAAAGAAGTCACAATAATCACATCAACTGGGAGGATGTGTCCAATGACCTGGCATTGGTGTTTGGCATGGGTTACCCAGTCCCTGGACCCTCACTCTTCTGCCTGAGGGTGGGAGAGCATTTGGCCACCTGGGTCTCAGGGCTCTGTGTGGGTCTGGCCTCCCTGCCTTTTCCCACCTTCCTCCTTGGTCTTTCTTCACTGCAGGATCTAGGTCACATTTGGGCTGAAGGAACACTATTCCCTTTTCACCCTTCAGTTCTCTGTCAGTAGACTTAGTCATTTGCAAGCCCCTCCATGTGGTCCCCATGCACAGAGGAAGTAAAAATAGGAAAAGGCTCCCTTCCTACCCACTGCCTTTTTTTAGGACTGTCTGTGTCCGAAGCCAAGAAGCTCAGCTCCTACTTCCACTTCAGGGAGCCTATTGACCTGAAGAATAAGACCTTGCTTGAGAAGGCTGACCTAGACCCCTCATTGGACTTCATGGATTCTCTGGAGAATGACATCCCCAAAGGTAATAGCCTATTACTTTGAGGACACTGGATCTGCCCCCAGGCCAAAGCAGTGGGCCATGTACCTGCCATTTTCCTCTGCAAAGGGAACCAAGGGCCTGGGTGGGAGATGGTGGTTTAGTGTGAGTCCTTGAGGGTGGGGCCACCCCAGAGGCCAATACAAGTTTCAGCTCACAGTAAACAGTTAGTAAATGTTTACAGACAAAAGGAAGGATTGTCTTCCATATGCTTTCGGAGACAGGAAGTCTCTCAGTGTCTCTCTTGATTTTCATATTAATCTTGAATAGAGGTATACATCCATCTCTGTTAGTCTTGGGTTAGATCCAGTGCTTGGCCCATAGCTGGTGCTCAGTAAGTGGGTGCTGACGGACTGAATAGCAAAGCACCTGCTAAGGATATGAGTTCTGTATATTTGCTTCATGCTATGTGTGGGGGATTTTTAAATCTTAAAACAGCTTCAGAGGCCTTCCTATGCTTCAGGGCCCACCTGACCCAGGCACATCCCTTGGGCAGTGGGGTCACAGAGACTGCATTTTTCCTTCCCTTGAGCTTCAGTAGGGAATATATTCTGGGAAGATGCTCTTGTTTGGATGCTGTGCCCCAGGACAGGTGCCAGGCTCTGGGCAATGTGGGGTGGACCCAAGATACTGACTCAATCCCCGTCTCTTTCTCTCCTCATATTTGGTGTTTCTGAGAACTGGAGGGATCTGTTGTTGATGATGGCAATGATAATGATAAATGATAATCGTAAGAACTCACAAAACAGTGGCACTGCTTATTTTGTGCTAGGCACTTTACTCAGCCTTTTCTGTAACTTATCTCATTTTAATATTCACAGCCAACCTAAGAGGTAGATACTGTTATTATCCCCATTTTATAGATGAAGAAACAGACTCCGAGTTAAACCCAAGGGCACAGTAAGTGTTAGAGCATTTGACTCCAGGGCTCTGTCAGATAGATGGTGGTTCTTTTTAAGTGGACAATGGGAATGGCAGGACCACTAGAGGCCACACTTCTGAGGAACAGATGAGCCTCCCAGTTGCAATGGAACTCTGGATGGAGGTGGGATGGCGTTCATGGTTAAGGCGAGGACTCTGAAGTTACACAGCCTGGACTGGGATTCTGAATCTGCCCCTTGCTAGCTGTGCGACTTGGGCAAGCACCTCAACTGTCTTGTGCCTCAATTTCCCTCATTTCTAAAAGGGGAATGATGATATTTTCTACCTCATTGGGTCAGTATGACAATTAAGAGTTAACACATATACGAAATGCTTCTAACAGTGTCTAACACAAAATAAGAACTCATAAAAATTAATAATTATTATTGATATATTTTGCATGACAAAAAGGCCTTAGAGGTGGGTCAGGCGGGCCTAAGAAGGCCTAGAGGGCCAAGGGTAGAAGGCCTACCTAGATCAAGGCAGTAGGAGCTTCTGGTGGCTTGTGAAGAGGCCTGTGATAATAAGGTAGTGGTGCATGGAGGGATAGAGAAGGGACTAGCCAGGGGTCTGGATGCCATTTCATGACTACTGCAGTGTGCCAGGGGCCAGGCAGTGAGTGGGTCCCAAGATCAGGGCTGCCAGCAAGGAATGGCTACTCTGGTCTTGGCCACATGGGGGCACTCAAGGCAAGCCCCCCTGAGCATTGAGGTGGGCTTCTGGACCTGTTGGGGGAGATAAAGGTTTATAGGGGTTGGGGCATTTCTCACCTAGGAGACAAACTTTCCAGACTCCAGTTATCTCCTCCAGCTCTGTGTTCCCAGCCGTACATCCTTGGGGGTTGATAAAGGAGCCAGGAGTGTTGTGATGGTGGGACCCAGTGTCAGGGGCTGAGGGGTCGGGGGAGAAAAGTACTCTTAATACCTCTATCTGGGGGCAGCAGCTCCACCCTCAAGGCGAGCTAGAAAACCCTCTCACCTGTAGCTAGATGCTCCGGGGCCAGTGGATGAGGCTTTTTCTACACTGTTGGATAATTGGGGGTCCTAACACAAGAGCGTCTCCCACTCTTGGAGCCTTATTCTTTGTGTGGTGGGAGGGACAAGGTGGGTGCTAGGGCCTTTGCAGCCAAAACTAAAACCAGCTAGATGGGCTTCGGGGGTCCAGCAAAGTCTTCCTATGAGAATCCCATTAGTCCTGTGTGCCTTGCCACCTGGGGTAAAGGGAACGCTGGAGGCAGCTGCCTCTTCCTGCAGCAGGGGGTGTAGGATATGAAGCATTGGGGGTCTTTCTAAAGGATGCTGGGGCCACCCTGATATGTCCATACAGCAAGTGAATTTATATTATCAGGCCCCTGGGAGATACAGGTTCTGGGAGATGGGTGAGTAGCAGTGGCTGGAGGCCCTGGACATTCCGCCTAATGGTGGGCCTCAGGGCTGAAGGGCCAGCTGGTAGTCTGACATTTCAGTCCACTCCAGCCTGTGGCTTTGTCCTTGGTGCTGGAGGCTTGGGAGTTAAGGGCTCCTGGCATCTCCTGTGTGTCTGGGGGGTGGGGAGGTGAGGGATGCTCTTGGCCTGACCTCGGGAAACCTCACAGCTTCTGGGCCTTCAGCTCCCTTTATCCCAGAGCTGCCACCAGAAAGCCTTCAGAAGTCAGGCCCAGTTTTTTCTTGTGATGGCTTGGTGGGGGCCATGGCCCAGGGATGGAGGTGTGGTCAGAGAGAGCAGACACTGATTTAGCTCCCAGACTCCCTTCCTTATCTGCCAGTTAAAGAGCAGGACGAGTGACTGGGAGACTGGGAGACTGGGAGAGCAGCCAGAATGGGCTAGGCTGCTAAGGGGGCCTAGGAATCCCAAGGAAGAGTTAATTCCCTGGGACACCAGCACTGGCTGGCAGGGTGAAATTTAGCAAGTGGAATTTGGTGGGGTGGGATTTTCTGCTAAAATTATGATTTACTTTCCAGGTCTGAGGCAGTTGTTCAGGGGACTTCATGTCACCCCTGAGCAGGTATGGTATAGGTTGGCCCTGCCCCTGGGACTCTTGCTCTAGGCCCAGGGAGGTAGGTCAGGAGATCAGCAGCTTGAGCCTGGGCTAGCCTGGGGCCACGGATGCCCTCCTGAGCTGTCCTGCCATGCTCTGGGGTCTGTAGAATTTTTGTGGGTGCGTAGTTTGGTGGCAGAACCATCCTCTTGGTGCATGCCAGGAAACAGCTAAAAGTCCTCTGAGCTTGGACTGCAGCCAGGAAAGAAGGAACACCAGGTCAGGAGGCCAGATTTCTAGATAGTATTCTGCCATTGCATCCTCCTTAACCACGGAGCAGCTATTATGTGCCAAGCGCTGGGGATATCTTTGTGAACAAGACAGGCACCGTCCTTGCCTCACAGAGGTTTGGGAAGATCAAAAGTGAATGAAAAAGTGGAAACGTAAGATAGAAGTTGCTTCACCAATGAAGTCATTGTGTCTTGGGGCAGGAGGAGCAGCAAGGGAAGCAGAGCAGAAAGATGGAGGCAGGGCTCCTTCCCTTGCTCCACTAAGGAACTGTGGGGACCAGCCAGGTCCTGGGCTGCTGGGGCTCCAGTGCAAGAGCTCTCAGCAGCAATGCCTAGTTTCAGGCAGCAGAGGGCAGTGAGGGACCTGCCTGCTTGGAAAGCAGCCTTTAAAAAGTGGTGGTAGTGGTGGTTGGGGAAGGGTTAAGGGTAAGAGGGATACAAGAGATGTGGGTGAGGGGGTGGGGGAGTGGGGAGACACAGGAGCATTGGAGAGTGGCAGGGGGTGGGGGGGACATGGTACCCTCAACCAGCCTTCTTTTTGGGGGTGTATGCAGGTGGCTCTTCCTACCCAGTCCCTTGGAAGCCTGGCTGACAGGTGCTTGGCCTTTTGGACTTGGTGGGGGGGTGGCTGACCTTACCAATCAGGCATTCTATCGTCGTGTCCTTCAACCTGTATGGGACTTGACCATGCCTTGTGGCCCTGGTGTGGCGGGAGCGGCCATTTTAAGGAACCCATGCCACTTTTATGTATAACAAGTTGTACAGTGCTGGTCTGAAAGGATTTAAGCAATCTGCTGCCCTGGACAGCCCTGATCCCCAGCCTTGCCCACTGTCCCCCTCAAACTGAATCTCAGGGCTTTGCTGCCATTCTTCTCGGAGGGCAGATGAATGTAATTAGGAGAAGCATAGTCTAGCCTGATGTTTCCACACTAGCAAAGTGGGGAGACCCCGAGGATCTGGACACCCAGGACTTACTGATTAAAATAGGCCCTGTTCCTGGTTACCAGCTTGTTCCACGCAACTGCCTCAAAAAACAGAGCTTGCAGAAGAGAATGGGTGCCAGGGGGCAGGAGGGGAGGTCTAAGGAGGGGCTGGGCTGTGAACTGAAACACCAGGGCCACAAGGGGCTGCTTCTCCTGGAATCCTACAGGCAGAGGCAGAAGCAGCTGGCTGGGTCCGGCCTTTCCAGCAGTTGCAGTAAGATAAGTGGGTGAAGGTGACAGTAAGTGCCTGGCTTCCCAGGTAGACACTACGTGACTCCTGGCACGTTGAGAGTCTGTGTGTTTCCTGGGCAACCAGCTGAGCCAGGAACAAGGAGAGGACAGGAGTGTGACAGGAATGCGAGGGCGGGAGGGAGGCAGTGTTGCTGGCTGGCTGGCCCCTCACATGCCACTTCCATACTCGGCCAGCACCCTTCTGCCTGCTTGGCACTGCCACCCTCCTGCCCCACGGGGTCATTGTATTTCTCTACATCCCTGTCAGTTTCTCCTTGCTCTGTGGTGGAGGGATGGGGGATAGCCCCTGTTGATAAGCCTGGGCCCCTCCCCTGCTACAGGAAAGAGGTGGCCAACCCCTAAGAGGGCAGGCTGGTGTAAGGGAAGGTCAGGGCCCGGCCCTTGCCCAGGATGTGCCAAGATGCTAACAGTGAAACGACAAGTGGTTTAGGTTGGAGGACTCCACGAAAGCATGTAGCATAGGCAGGTTGCAAGCTGCTCCCCATGGTGGGCAGAGGAGGCAAAGCCTAACCTTTCTCAGTTCAAGGGGACTGTGACACAGCTCCCAAGGCAGTGGGGGCTGCCCCCAGATGATGCCGTGGTGGCTGGGGTGGTGGTGGAGGATGCGACTAGGGGATGCAAGATGTACCTTCCTGGGTCTGTGCTTCTGGCCAAAGGCTGAATGCAGCATACTGTGAATACTTTGTTCTGCATACCCATTGCCATTATCCCTGGGTATTTTTTGGAATGAGGAAAGCAACAGGCTAGGGCCTTAGGCCTCTGAGAGCAGATGGAGGACTTTGAGCGTCCAGAGAAAACTGTAGGAGCCAGGGAGGATATTCTTCTTTGACCAGGAAAGCAGCCCCCACCCTCCTGGGCAGTTAACTGTCAGAACTCTGGTAACCCAGGACACCCTTCTTGATGCTGTCTGGCCAGCAGTGTGTGGTTCCTAAGAGAGTAGAATCAAGCTCACACTGTAGCTTACACCTCATCATCTCATGCACAGGCAGTGACACTTGGTGCAGGCCACCGCACAGTGCTGTGGTGGCTCCAAGCCAACCTCTTTCTGAGCAGGCAGGGCCAGCTGACCTACATGCATCAGAAAGCTCTGGCTTTGATTTGGGCAGGTGACAGTACCCTCAGCAGGGCTGAGCTGCCATCAGGGTCAGGGGTTCCTGGTGGTCAGGTCTCTGGGATGTAGGGTGGCCCCTGCTGGGTGGAGACTGAGCTGTGAGGCTGCTGGTTGTGGAGTGAACAGGGTGGGCCACGGTTGAAGGAGGCCTGTGGGAAGCTGGGGTGGCAGGAGCCAAGCAGCCGGGCTGAGCTGGCAGCTGATGAAGGTCTCAGCACAGCTCTCAGTGCATCACTGGCTGGTCCAACACCAAAACCTTCAAAGGATTTGCCTTTCTGGAAGGGCCTGGAACAGAACTGTGGCTGGACCCGGGAGGGGCCTTGGTGCGCAGGGGAATAGAAGCTCCAGATCTGCATCCAGAGGCGATTTTCCCAGGCTCCTTCCTCCCACACATCGGCTCCCTCCCTCAGTTCTGGAGATGGATCAGGTCCTTCCCGCCAAGTCCTAATGGCTGCACAACTTAGCCCTGGGCTGGGCTGCTCCTGTCTGGGGAGCAAAAACCAGGGCAGGACTTAGGACAGACAATGGCTCATTAGTTGTCGCCTGGGTCTCCTCCTGCCAAGGATGGCTCCCACACCGCCAGTGGCCAGACAGGGCTATTGAGCTGGGAGGCCTGGAACGACCAAACTCCTATATGAGCCCCTGGTCAGGTCTAATCTATCTCAGGAACAGAGGATTCTGGGGCTGGGGAAGAGATAGCAAAACAGCAAGTAGGGGTACACTACACTAGGACTGAAGTCACTGGTGATTACACCTAGTAGAGGGTGAGACTGGAGTCCCCCAAGCCTGGCCCCAACTCCTGTGGATTTGGCCTCCTCCCCCACTCAACCTTTAACTAGACTTGCTGACAGGAACAAAACGCACTCGTTTGAGTTTCACCTCTTTTCATTTCCTTTGCCCTCCCTCTGGAAGTGGTTTTAATGAACAGTGAAATGGCTAAAAGGCAATCAGGAGGAGTAAAGCGCTGGGATAATTAAACTGTCTTCCTTTTTCCCAACGGAACCTCAGCACCTGGGCCTGGCTGCCCAAGGAGCCAGGGCCTCTGCACATGGGGCAGAGCTGTGGCTCTGCAGCACTCAGGCCTCACTTGCCCCCCAGGGTCCTGGAGCATCCAGATGGAGAGGGGCAATGCCCTGGTGGTGCTGCGCAGTCTGCTCTGGCCAGGCCTCACCTTCTACCACACCCCTGGCACCAAGAACTGTGGCTATATCTACGTGGGCACCGGTGAGAAGAACATAGACTTGCCTTTCATGCTGTAGGAGAGGCCAGCCCAGGAACTTTTTATGTAGAGCATAAAATTATTTTCATACATTTCAGTGAAGCTGGTCTGTTTGTTCTATCCTGCCTCTTCCCCTCATCTCCACCTCCATCTGGTGTCCAGGCTCTGAGGACACCACAGCACTAAAGCAAGTGGCAGAAGATCAGAATGTGCTAACAAGAATGAATGGAGGGTGGAAATGGCTGTGGAAGGTGACAGCCAGGAGCCCTCTGAGGAAGGCAGCTCCTAGACTCAGATTAAGTCATATGGGGGCCAGGCAGCCCATCTCTACCCCCCCACCCGCCCCGTAGCCCTTAGGCCTAAGACTAAATGGACGATGGTAACCTGTCTGGCCCATGAAATCCCTTCGGTTTAGTGGCTCAATGCTCAGTAACTGGCTGGAAATAGGCCCAAGCCCCCCGCACTTCCTAAGCAGTGAGCACACACCCAGTGGATGAGACATGAGCCTGGTTTATGACATTACTTTGAGGGGAACTCCTGTCCCCTAGTGCAGAGTAAGGCCCCAACCAGTCATGAGACTACCTCAGGTGCCAAGGAACCCAAGTGAACTGCATGCCCCCGGCTGAAGGCACCGAAGGTGGTGTCGCTGCCACTTGCACCATTCATGCTGGAGGAGCCAGACCACCCTGGTAGGATCCGGTGACAGAGCTGGAGGACATCTGGCCAGGTTCTCAGGAAGCCCTGCTCCATCAATGATATAACACCAAAGGCCTTCTTGAGTAGCGGACATTGTCTTTCAGGAGGGGTGATCCCACGGCCATGCGCACCTTATTCCAGCGGTGGCCTTTATTGTAGATGGGCTTGACGGAGCTGGGGGACCAGCGAGTCAGGTACCTGTAGAGGAAGGACCAGGAAGTGTGGCTGAGGGCTGGGAGCCTGGGATGGAGCTGGGAGGGTGGGCATGCCTCCTCAGGCCACAGCTGTGGATATCCAACCAAACCCTTTCTCTAGTTTTTCTTCCTTGAGAGCAGGGGCTTTTCCTGGGAGCAACCGCTGAGTGTGCTGTAAACAGATGGGCTGGGTTCTTGCCGTAAGCGTGTGTGGCCAGGGTCAGGCAGACCAGGGCCACGTGAGCTCCCTTGATCTTTAGGAGTTGTCAATGTTTGTGTGTATTTTCTGGGGGAGGAGGTGGAGGAAGAGGCTGATGTAAGAGCCTGGAGGAATCCTTCCCTCTCGCCCACTTGGCTCATTTGGCCACCCCAGCCTTTAGGGAGCTCCCCTGGGCAGCCATAACTGGCTGGAGGACCCCTGCCCCTCACTCAACCCATGATGGGAGCCAAGGGTGAAGGCCCATGGGGGGTATGGGGGAGGAGGTAGGGAAAAATGGCTGTGGCCCACAGTCCTTTGGCCTCCTTTGGGGATGGCCAGGGCGCTGCTAGTTCCCGGAAAAGTGGCTCATGCCGGCTGGGATTGGGGTTTATTCTATTCAGAATGAAACTTGGATTCTGTCCAGAGAGGCCCACCCTTCATCCTGAAAGCTCAGCTATGCCAAAGGCCAGGATCCTCCTCTGCTTCCACTGTAGGTTGTGACTCAACCCAGCCACCTCTAAAAACCATCAAATGAGAGATTTCTAATTAAAAAAACTACCCTTGGACAAAAATTTTTAGATGAAAGTGAACAAAGATTGCTAATTTACACATTTCAGTTGAGCTCCCCTGGACCTTGGTCTTCTCCTGCATGAAGGAAACAGCTCCAAGAAGAGTGAAAAGCCGGGGAGGTACGAGCCTGCACTCCAAGTGTGAGGTGGGCTTCTCTGAGACTCTTGTCAATGTTGTTGCCCCCCAAAAGGGAGACTTCTGAGGAGTGGGCTGGTCCCAGGGACTGCTCTTCCTATGGCTGGAGTGCTGTGACGGTAGGAGTGTGAAGGGCAAGGGAAGGAGCGCCTGGCAGGCCCCCGCACTGGCATCTGCCAGTCTTCAGAGGGGTGGGGAAAGAGATGGGGCGTGGGAGCCGTTTCTCCAAAAGGAGTGCTCACCAGAATTCTAGGACCCCAGGCTGACCAGGTTGTCCAGAAGTGTTGCCCGAAAACTGTTCTTCCCTCCCCTGCCCTGGAGAGACCTGGGGAAGCTGGGCTTCAGCGAGCTCTGGGCCTGATGCCTCTGCCCCATGGAGCAGCCAACTGGTGGGGGAGGGGTGCCTGGGTGGCCTCCAGTCAGCATTTTGGGAAGACTCCAGCTCTGGGAAGAACCAAGGTTCCTTCCTACCTCTCCTGAAGGGGCAGGAAAAGGAGGAAGTGTGGCTCCTTCGGGGCCCAAAGCTCAAGGGCCTCTGGATAGAATCGTAAAATCCCTTACAAGGGAACCAACCTCCCTTGTAGCCAAGATTGTCCCTCCACCCAGCCCCCCAGAGTGGCCTTTTGCAACCCAAGAGCCCCCACACATCATCAATCCTGTGTCACGTTAGAGGACACCGGATATATGGGAGGGAGCCTGGCTTCACTTCAAAGGCCTGAGGGCAGGGTGCATTGTGTCCTTAGGCCTGCTGCGGTCTCTTAACAAGTCGGGGGGTGGGGGAGAGGCTCAACCCCTAAATGGTCTGTAGCACATTTGGGAAAGACAGAAAGATGTTACTAGGTCCTGATCCCCCAGGGCTGCTGGAAGATGGCCCAGTTAGCATTGTGGGAAGGGCAGGTGGAGATGGGCATGGGGCCAGGGTGCTGGCGAGGTGTCAATGAAGACCCAGCTCTGGTCCTACACCCCCAGCCCAGCAATCTGTGGCTGGTACCTGCCGGGACTCCTACCCTCAGGCTTGGGTTCTGCTGGGAATCAGACTAGGAGGTTTGCTAGGGGGTGGGGTCAGTCTTACTTTGCTTCAACCATCTTTGGTCCTATATAGACAGCAGTTCCAGTGACGGCTGGACCAGCTGAAAGAGGGAGGGGCCACTGATAGGGGAGAACAAGAATAAATACCAAAATCATTTTTACAGACCTGACTCTACTACTCTCAACAAGGGTGTATTATAGATGTGGGAGTATGTGAGTATGGTAATGTCAGAGGTGGGGGAGGGAAAGGAACACACAATAGGATAATTGAGTATTAGTTAGACAAGTCTGCTCCTCCACCAGAGGGTGCCACCCTGCCTAGCCTGAAAGCCAGATTGACTGATTCCAGGATCCAAGGGCCTTCCCCTTCTCTAAAACCTCAGGATCTCCTGGGTCACCACATGCAGCTATGCAGGTGAACTGTACAACTCAAGGGAGTGCCATTCACTCAGTCTACATGGACACTGCCTTGAAGTTTTACAGTGTACGACGTGCACAGCTACATACAGGGCTCTATCCCTAGAGAAGCCCTCCCTCATTTTTAAGGCCTCACTTTGCCCTTTAGTAACCCTAGTGCTAGGACACTGAAAGTCTGAAGTGCTCTGACACTCCCATAGCAACCTAGTGTGATGTCATAAATGGGATTAGCACATTCTGATGCCCAACCGGCAGACCTCCTCACCCTCCTCGCCCCTGTGCTAAGTGCCCTACTGGGGAGGGAGGAGAAAAGAGGCTGAGGCCAGCAGGGAAGGGTGACAGAAGCGTGGTGTGCAACATCAAGTGCAGCACCAGTGGGACTGACAGGGATGGGATGGAACGGACAGCCAAAGGGCACACTGGCTTTCCTGGGCTGTGGGAGGAGCTCTAAGAAATGGCTTCTCTGGCAGAGCGTAGTGAGAACCAACGGCCTGCAGAATGCTTGGGGCACTGACACCCAGGCTTGCTTACCGGTTGAGTTGGAGTTTTCTTTTTGGAACAAATCCTTCAGGAAGCGGAGGCTTATGATTTGGGAACAGACCTGAATGCAGAAGAAACACATAAGGAGATGGTCTCTGCAGTTCCCCCCTCAGCTTTTGGGGACCATAAAGACAAAGCCCAAGGAGGCGGAAAGGTGGCATTGAGGGGAGTAAAATGAAGGCTCTGGATGCCCATCTCTTTCAGGAGGGGCTACAGCATGGGGCAGCTAGCAGGGGAGCGATGCCTACAGCCCTCTGTCCCTCTTAGCCCCGAAGGGGACTTCTACCTGCTCGGTGGGCCATCTTCACACACTCCTCAATCTTGCGGTGCTCTTCCTGGCACAGGCCTGTGATCCTTCGGGGCAGCATGCCTCCGTGAGGCCGGATGAACTGACTGAGCAGCAGAACATCCTGGTGGAAGTGGAAAACAGGACATGAGGGTCAGCCGGGTGAGCGTGTGATACTGGGGAGCCAAGCCACATGACCTACGGAAGAGGTGGTGGACCCTGGCACTCCAAGAAGTTGAGGTCTCCCTTGGGAACTGACCTAAGACCATTCCCTCCACAGAACTTTGCACACTGGTCTACTACCTAACAAAAGTTAAATCCCAACTTAATAAGATTTTCTGACCCTCTTACCAATCCTAAGCGCTTTTAACTCTCCCTGAGATAATCTTTTGATAGAGAACAGAATAATCTAGGTTAGAGAATAGAAACCCTTCGAGAAATGTTAACAATCTTTCATGTACCTGCAGTATCTTTCCTGGTGACAAAAAGCCAACCTCCCAGGGTGAGGTAGAGGGTATGTCATATATTTCCACATAAGAGAGAAACTCTAATACCAGCTCCGCCCCCAAAGCCTATGTGCCACAGGCCACAATACACGTACACCATCTGCCATTCCCTCTGAAGTACTAAGCAGGGTACAAGCTGAGGAAGGGACCAAGGCTGTGAAATTAATCCCACATCTTCTGATGTGAATGGCTTCTAAGGCTTCCTTTGGGCCATCAGATTGCCTTGGAAGAGTCAAGGAAACGGGTAAACAGAGCCAGAATCAAGACAAGAAACTACCCCCTCCCAGCTCTCACAGGGTGGTTGAGGGGGTTGGATAAAAGCCACCATCTACCCCCCCCCCCCAGAGGGGCCCGGCACACCAGTCTTAGCAGTCATGTCCACAAACTGACTCGCTGCCCTGGCAGGCGCCTCGCTGTACAACCGCAGATTTGTTTTAATCACTGGAGAGCCCCTGAGGGACCCAGACCCCAAATTCCCACCCCTATAATCTTCAGAATCTGATGAAAAGAACTTGGATTGGATTATCCAAGGCTAATAAACTGGGCTCCCAGCCCCAGCCTCCCCCACTGCAGGCTGCCAAACAAGCTGACAGCTTTGTGCAGCTCAGGCTAACGATGCCCTGAGTGAAAAGGGATAAAAGGAAAACAACTTTAGCCTTTACCTTGGAGAGGATTGGATTTCTTCTGCTGGATAAACAGAAGCAAGTCAATTTCCTGGAAATGGCTGGTAGAAAGAGTGCCCCATGGTGGTCAGGCAGGTTCACCTACCCAATTTCAGCTGAGATTCCAAGTATGGCCACAGCCCAACTAACTTCCTTGTAAGAAGCTGTGCATGGCCTGCA